GTCCATAGCTTTTAAGGACCAATATTAATCAGTTCATCGCTAAATATCTAGAACATTCTATTTTGGTGTTATTAATGTTGGCTAATATTAATGTGAGAGCAGCAAGCCCCACCTGGTAGAATTGATATGTTGTACATATTTTAGTGCAGTTCTTAGTCTCAAATGAAATTCATACAGCCAAACACTTGGCATTCTGGGATTGTACAGAATGCATTGTGGGAATGAGTGCACATTTCATTGGAGTGGCGTTGCTGTAATTTTTTATATTTATGTGTAACTCCTCAATATTAAATGAAGCATTATAACCACTACATTAATCTGAAGTCTCCTGGACCTGTGTAACCTTTGAGTCAAACTATTAATTTACATTAATTTGGTACCATATGTGTGCGTATATGTGTGTGTGTGTGTGTGTGTGTGTGTGTGTGTGTGTGTATATATATATATATTTTGTAATATGAACAGGTGTACAAATACCACTGACCTAATAGAACAGAGGTACCGGTAGGTTAAAGGATAATGTTTATTTAAGCTAACACCGCGCATGGCCTTAAAACAACAAAATTTGCCCTACGAACTTTCGTAGGCTTTAGAACTGTACAAACTTGTCTTTATATTTAGCAAGCCACTTTGAAGAGGACATTTTACTGGAACAAAAGATTGAAGATGTACAACTGTGTCACATTTATTGGCTTCTTCTAATTTCACACATTCTTCTTGGAGTCTCTGTAAACCCATCCTATTTCTAAACAAAGAATGTGACCATAAAGGGACCTTGGCAACTGGATTCATGTTAAGTTAAAGTGCTTCCATCACCAGAAGGATATTCCTTATCAAACACTGAAAATGGTGTTAGTTTTGTGGTTTTTTTTTTGTTTGTTTTGTTTTTTAATATTTTGTTGATTATATAGTTTTGGGATATTTTAAGTAAAACAGTTGCAACATTATGATTCTCTGAGTAACTGCTAATTTCATGTGTGTTTTGTTTATTTAATTTTTTTTTACATTGCTATTTTGTTAACTTGTGCACAGATTCTTGGTGCAGATGAATCAAATGCTTTTTTAAATCTACACTCGAACATATTAATCGGCCTCACTCTGCAGGCAAATCCTGGACGAATCTGTGAATTCAGGCACAGATTGAAAGGGCATTTTATTTGTTTGCACACCAGCTAAAAAGCATTTGTGCAAGTCTACAATTTTGTTTTATACTTAATGTACAAACCAGGAATGAAGAATTAGATCAAACTTATACATGTAATAATTGGACCATTTTGGACTTGACTGTAACAAAATTCAAAATATTGATATTTAAAATCAGGAAATATTTTTTCCTTATTTATTTTAACTGACGGAATTATTCAACGAGCCTTGAGTGACAAACTAAGGCCTATGCCACCTCATTTTCCCTCTGCTCCATCGTTTCTTGCATGCCCATTCCATTTGTGGATCAAATTCTGCCATAGTGGAGTACTTATAATGGCCAGTTATGCATTACAGAGTTTCAAATGAGCCTTCAATGAACTTTATTATATTGAATATAGTCTGAGCTATGACAAGGGGTGTAGTGTCTGCGTGTATGCAACTTAATGGCCTATGGCAAGCTATTTCATTTAGTACAGATAGAGTTTAAGGAATTTTATTTACAATTATTAATTTATTAACATGCATAGTGGCTTTTAAACATTCACACTGTGAGTTTTATTGTAAAGACCTCTGTGATGCACTCACACACAACACTTTCATATGAGTTTAATTGTTGGGGCGCTCGGTGATAAATACACGCTGAACTTCTTCAAAAACACACAAAGATATAAAAGTAGGGAGTGAGAGGTATTTGGCCATCAAAAAGGCTTCCCGTGCTAAGAGACACTTAAGATGAAAGCGTAAAGAGAGGCCAATATTTGTATTTAAGGTGGCTAAACAAGTCTTGGAGATACAGTCCTAGAAGTCACTTGAGTGTTTTTGTGTTTTTTATTTTAAAAGTTAATAAAGTGATCTGATGCATTGCTCATAGATCAATTCATTCCCCCCACCGCCTGTTAACTACTTATAAAATATTTTTCCCTCTTTGCATTTGTTGTCATTTTGAACCTTATTTGTCACTCAATCAAAAATGGATCATAAAGTTTTCAAAAAGGGACCGGGTTAGAATGTGTTGTAATTTTTGAGTTGCTTAGTTAGTGCTCTCATGTACACTTTTATCTGTGCACGCTTAATAAATCCTTAGCATCCTTGCAAAACGGCAGGATAATTTGGGATTAAATTTGCCCTGTGCTATGGGATAGTTGGCAGGCTCTGTGTAATCACCGAGAGGCCTGGCCTGTTCGATTCCAACCTCACAGGCAGCATGTGTTTTTTAGCTCATAGCGGAACATGCCAGCATTACATACTTTGTTAGGTTATTGCTGTATGGTAAGGTAAATTACCCCCGAGCTATGCAGAGAGTCTAATTTTCTTAAATCCCTATCCATCATTCTGTCTGAATGTGCCCAAACATACAAGTGTTATACTTTTTAAGCTCCTTAAAGCACTCTTACCTCTCTATTATTTTTGATTTACTCTAGGGGTGGCCAAAAGGTAGATCCATAAATTTACAACTCTCATGATGCTTTGCCAGGTTTTTGACTGAAGTCCGAGGAAACTAGTTGGGAGCAATTTACTTTTTTAAACTTTTTTTTTTGCATAAAATATCCATATTCTTTGAAAACAGGGATGTTCAAACAATCACCAGGGGCAATCATTTGGACAGTTTTAGGATTGCTGTAATTAACTGTATGTAATTAACTTTGTGCATCACTAAGCCATGTGAAGTGCGTAAAATCCTTGTGTCTCCAGACTTTGAATTTGAACAGTATTGTTCTAAACTGGATTAGAATGCACTATGATAACTTTAAAATAAAATATTTTTAACTTATTTTCTTCTGCATTTCTCTGACTAGAGATTACCAACAACTTTAGTTTAGAATTAATGCAGCTTACATATTTTTGTTTCCTTTGCAACAATTCATGTGCAACTTTTGAACAAGAAAATATGGCCGGATTCACTCTTTTGGATATAAAAAAAATTAATAATTGAGTGGTTTTGTGCCTTTGCGTTGTGATAGGATTAAATACCCCTATTTTTTACTTTATTGTTGCAAATTTACACCCACCAGGCAAGTTATTTTTTTTTTTTTTTGCATAATTTAATTTATTCTATTGCAAAAGGACTGTAATAATTATAAAAAAACAAAAAAATGTGATGCTGTTCTGTTTCCGTACTGACCGTTCATAGCCCTATTGTTAAATCCTCCCTGTTAATATGTGACTCTGAAGCTTTAGTTTACCACGCTATCGTAAAACCATGTTGAGGGTACACTTCACTTTTAAGTTTTAATGCGGGCTAAAGTTTTATAACCGTACTGTGTTTATCTCTATCCTCTAACACCCCTTCCCACCCGCTGACCAGGTGTTTTGTCGCATTCCTTGTAGGAAAAAAAAAAACCCAACAAGGTAATAATCTCTAAACACAGCTGCTCCATCAACTAGCAAGACAAGGAGAAATCCTACTATAAAAACGTGGTTATAAAAACCTGGACGAGTATTTTAAATACTTTCCGCCAAATAACCCATCAGAATTCCAAGAAAGAATTTCAGCAGCTGAATATTTCAAGCTGACCTGTAAAAACCTTCTTACGCCCAGCGTAGATCAAAGCAGCTGTGTCCAAGCATTTTCATGTGCCCGGGAAGAGTAAAAAAAAATCTATTAACATACCTGCTATGCATTGTTGTAAAAGGAGGATTTAAAATGGCTTATGCGGAATGTACGACTCCCTTACTGTTAGTGCATTCAATTCCATTTTATAGGTTGGTGAGATTGCCACATGGAACAGAACGTAGATATTTTACATTCCAGTTGTTGTGGAAACGCTTTACTGTAATCCCAAGCCACGAGTTGCACAACTACTGGTGTGGTGAGGTTGATGAGGTTTAAGACCATGTTTTGGGCCCTAGTAGCTTCGTAATGTTCATTGGTATGTAATGCAGAACAAAGGCACAGTGAACTCTCTGAATAAAACAGAAAAAACACTTCATGTGTCTTATGATAAAGATTCAGTCTATGACCTCCAAAGCTCACAGAATCCCATGCAGTCATGGTTGAAGCCACCATTTACACCGGTACCATCTGGTAGGCTTCTAATGACTTTCTACTGGTTTGTAGTGTTTACAACCACTTTCAGATGTCTTGTGGTTTCCACCTAGTCCGCTGCTTTGTCATATGGTTTTAAACCCTGATTGTTATGGTTGTAAGCTCTAACAGAGTTTCGTGTCACGGGTTTGAATGGAAAAAAAATGGTCATTTACTGAATTCTGCCATTTCCCTTTATAATGTCCCTTATCTCTGCCTCTGAAATCTTGTAAATGCATAAACCCGAATCCTTTTATCCTCCAAACATATGGATACACAGTCAAAAATAAAATCTCAGAACATGGACATATGGAATGTTACAGAGCAGGTGGAAAGTTTGGGAGGGCATTTGTGTGGCCTTTGATCTGATATAGGAAAACGAGTAACCTATTGCATCGCTTTATATTTTTATCAACAGACATTGCGGGACTCTTTTTGTGTCCTTTGTGTGTCCCTCGATCACTGTGCAAATTGTACAGTATCCTTACAGAAGTCAAATGCACTTGCAGGACTTTTAAAATGAACATTACATCTGGGTATCAAATGTTTTACACTAGTTGTGTGTTTTTTGTTTTTTTTCCCCCCTCTACTGTGATGTAATTTACGAAATGCTGTATGTTTTGTATTTTGTGTGACTGACTTGGCTTTAATGAAATTTTATGTTTTTTTTTTTTTTCATTTCCTAGAACCCACAATTTTCAGCTTTAATTTTTGACAAGCTCCAAGTGCCTGATTATTTGCTGAAGAGCAGGAATGAAGGAGAAAGCCGATGTGATATCTGCGCCACTCACTTGAACCAGTTGAAGCAGGAAGCCGTCCAGATGATCCAAGCTTTCAATCAAACCGGCAACCCAGAAATTCTAGATTGTCCCCGTTCTGTGCCTGTGGCTAGTGTTCTCCCGGGCCTATCACCCCAGAAAATGGTCACCGTTTCATCTCAGAAGGAATTGTTGATGATTGCTGGGCAGGTGGGCAAGCAGCCTGGGAAACCAACACCTGTTTTCCCTGGGACAGAGAAGAAAAAAGGGCTTGGATGGACACAAGGGCCTGGGAGCTTTCCAAGCTCCAGTTTGCAAGTTACAGTGGCTCCGAACAGCCTTGGTGGAACTTTGAGCTCAGTGACCATCCAGGCCCAACAGTATCTAGAAGGCATGTGGAGTATATCCAGAGTCAACAACTTCCTTCCTTCATCTTGTCAGGTAAGCTAACGCAATTGGAGTGTGCTGGTAATTGTCATTCTGTATTAAGACGAGTTGTGTGATGGAACTTGTGTTTTAAATGGAAAAGTACCGTGGTCTATTTTCCATCTTCTCTTGATTTTGTTTTAGTTACAATGTCAAATATCTTTTTGCGAATAAAATACTCCCTTAAAAATTAAATAGAATAAAAATGAGTGAAGAATTTCGATCGTAACTTTGAGTTCTAGAACACTAGTTTTGCATAAGAAAAAAAAATAATAAAAAATCCAGTATTGTAACCGAACGGATAGGACTTTTATATCTTACAGTTTTGCAGACCGTTTACATTTAAAATTAAATAAAAATGAACTGATTTATATATAATTATTTAGGGCTTCTGAAAAATGTTTTAAACACAAGTGTTCCCATATGACAACATTGATCAGATTAAACATTTCCCAGTTTTCTGTGTGTATGGAGAATATTTTGCAATTCTCTTCCTGTGTCTATATCTGTTCTTAACATCTGCCAGTGATTGCAGATCCTTAATGAAGCTATTAATATTTTAGTGGCTCAGGAACAGAAGCTGAAAGGATGTCTTGGTATTAGTTATAGAAGATGTCAAAGGTTGCCAATCTTAATTGGATGAGCAGAAGGTGAATATGTTGCAAAAATTAGATTTATTAATTCATTTTATCAAAAAATAAATAATAGTTTTATTGAGGCGTTTCTACTAGAAACACACAGAATATGTCACTTTTTTTTTTAAAGGAACACTATAGGATTAGGAATACAAATGTGTATTTCTAACGTCACAGTTTAGGTGACCGGGCCCCAGTTACCAGGGCTAAAAGGAGAGTTTTACTTAACCTTTTCTCCCTTGCAGTGACGATCTCTGATGTGCCAGTCCACCGCTTTAATAGAGATTATGGATAATCTAAGTCAAGTGAATGCTTCCCTATAGGAATGTATAAGGAGATAAGTGCGCATGTGCGGCAAAATGCCGTGCTGCACTAATCAGATGGTCTCAGAGAATGGAGTAATGGTGAAATAGAAATAAGAGTTGTAAAAGGCACATGTCTCTTTTATTAATGAGGAGCTACTGATTGGCTTAGACGTTAAGGTGACTGCTTTAGCCACTCAGCAGTGCCCTTATCTGGTGGCAGCCCGTGCTTCCTAAAATGCAATTGAATAAGCCGGATTCCGCTGGGGAAAGGAAGATCGTGCACTTGACGCATCCTTTGGGTTAAACCATTTGAGAACAGTTTAAACCCTACAGGTAAGAAAGCACCATGGATCTCCTGGCACCATAACTGCATTGGTACGCAATAGTGATTATGGTGCTTGAAGTATTCCTTTAAAATGTCTGAGGGTAGTGCAGTAGGAGCTATGACATTGTATGTAACTCTTGCAGCCATTAGACTGCTGTGTGTGCTTACAACAGATTCAGACTTTGCACAAAACCGATATTGTCAGCCTGGAAGAAAGAATTCCATCTGACTGACTGTCCTGGGAGGTGGCCCTACACAGAGGAAAAAAAAGAAGGTATTTTATCTCTTGAATTAAACCTTTTTAGAAAGAAAGGCTGTTGTGTCTTTGCGCAGTAACCACTTCAGTAAGCTGAAGTGATTATGGGACTTAGGATGGTGGACATTATTTATTGCTAAGAATTCTAAAGCATAATGCTATCGAATTGCGTTGATGTAAGGTCCCGTCTAACCAACCTAACTGTACCCCACATTAAAGAGCATATTGTAAGCCGACATTGAAGAGCCTGGAAAATGGATGCATACATAAACCTAAATGCTAAAGTTTAGAAAAAAGAAAAACCGATCCTAGAATGAAAAACAAAAAAGCATGCTTTTCCAGCTTGTGTGTGTCATATATTACTTAAAAAGAGCTTACGAAGACACTTGAGAAGATAAAACTGTCCTGGTAAAACGCTGTGCAATTTTGAGCATAGCTCTGGCTTTTGGTTGCAAATCGTAAGAGAAATAATATTCGTTTTAAATATGATTGCAAGAAAAATAGATAGTGCTGCCCGCAATCAGAAAATATCTAATACAGCGAAAGAGACATTTTGCTTTTAACAGGAATCTTTTTGCTCCCGTCAGTCTTGAATATATCTCCAAATCTATAAAATGATGTTTTCACCATTTTTTTTGTTTTTTTTTGCATTCTTTGTAGAATGTGGCAATTTTATGGAAAGTAAATCGCTGTTGCAGAGCAATTTAAAATGGGAGGCTTTATTTATTTTATTTTTTTATTTTTTTTTAGGCAAAAAAATGTAATCTGCTATTTTATGTATAAACATTATTATGAATGTTACTGGTGTAAAAAAATTAAATAAAACAAATATTTAAAAAATCTTTTTCTGGAATGAATCCAAACGAAGAGCTAATATTCTTTGCCATGGCTGTAGTGTCGGATTTCAATCTCTAGATTAGTTGGTGGTCTAAATTTAGAATTTCCATAATTTAAGGTTTTTCACGTTGAGTATAGTATGCTGGTATTCATAAGTGCTGAGTGTTTTTCATACCTACCTACAGATCTAATATGCAGAATTTGCTGTGTTCTTTTGGAGAGTTTTCAGCTTTTCTAGACAATCGAAAAATAAATCCTCTAGAACTGTCATAGGTTCAAATTCAGAATTTACTACATAATATAGTAGGTAGTGTAGGTAAAATGTTAGCAGTTCAAGGGACACTTCAGTTGAGACACTGGCTTAACACGGCTCACATAGGTATCAAGAAGTGTCCTTGATTGGATCACGCGGATATCGGGAGCTGTTCTTGAGAGCATCACACGGGTATTAAGAATTGTCCTTGACTGGTTCACTTGGGTATCTAGGCTGGGACTAGTGATTGTGTGTGAAACCTATTCTCTGCCTCTGTGATCAGACCTCTCAGAACTACACAATAAAAATGATTCTTCCAAAAGAAAGTGACAGACTTTGGGGCGATCTCTAGTCAAAGTGTTCCAGGCTAATAAAATTTACATTAGATGTTGTTTAGGAGGTAAGAGGTATGTTATACTTCCCAAAACTACCCCTTTGTGCTCAGGTTAAAATCGTAAGTTTGTGTCAAGTACTGCTGATCATGCTTGCTGTCTGTTGAGAATTTAAACCCCGGAGTATTCAACATTTGTCCAACAAAAGACAGGCCAATATAGAACTCTAAGTTGTTGTTCGATAGCACCGTACAAGCAGAGGATCTCTGGTAAATTGGATCGAGGCCATGGTGATAAAGAAATGAGAATTGTTAACTTGTATTCTTGGCCTTATGGCCTTAGAGGTGAACTTGGAAAATAGTCACTCGAATTCACATGAAACTTGGCTTATTTCCAGATTTTCCTCAACTCATTGATTGACTAGATGGAAATTAAAAATGTATATAAACAGAAGCTTGAGGGTAAAACTGTAAATTAATTTTTCTATTTCGACTAAAAGTTTGCAGAATGCTGCAGACTGTTGTAGCCTCTCAGAGGTATTGATTGATGGACAGGGCAGACCGAGCTTAAAGGGACTCTCCAGTGCCAGGAAAACACATTGTTTTCCTGGCACTGCAGGTCCCCTCTCCCTCCCACCCCCCATTCCATGTTGCTGAAGGGGTTAAAACCCCTTCAGTGACTTACCTGTATCCAGCACCGATGTCCCTCGGCGCTGGGTCAGGGTCCGCCCACGCTCCTCCCCCGCCGACGTCATCCAGTGGGGGAGACCTATTAAACATGCGCGGCCGGCAGCGGGGGAGACCTAATGCGCATGCGCGGCAAAGCAACGCATGTGCATTAGACCTCCCCATAGGAAAGCATTGAATAATGCTTTCCTATGGGGATTTCAGCGACGCTGGAGGTCCTCACATAGCATGAGGACTTCCAGCCTCGTTATAGCACGGAAGTGTTCTCTAGTGGCTGTCTAGAAGACAGCCACTAGAGGAGGACTTAACACTTCAAGGTAAATATTGCAAGTATTATATATATTGAAAACTGCAATAATTACCCTTGCAGGCTTAAGGGTAGTGGGAGTTGGCACCAATACCACTCCAATGGGCAGAAGTGGTCTGGGTGCCTGGAGTATCCCTTTAAACAAGATATCTCGTGTGATAACCATCAGAACTGCATAAACTAACTTTTATTCCTTGTTCCGTTACCATAATATTGGTATCCAGGCCTTACAATATTCCTTGTACATTACTAAATATCATAGGGAACCTGTTGGAAGTGTGTCTGAGATTAGCATTCCAAGATAAACCTTCACAACGCTGGATTCTTCAATGCTCAATGTGACTTCAATGCTCTAATTCGGGATTGAAGATTTTGGATAAGACTAATTCAGTAGCTACTGATGTTTTCCTGTTTGCTTAGCTTTGAAAAACCAAAGCCCTAGGTTTTTTTTTATAATTTTTTTTTTTCGTTTTTAAATGGTACGTTTGGAATTGTTTGGTTAAAGTTATGGAAAGTAATATATATTTAAGAATTATTAGTAAAACACATTTTTATGTATTTATTGTCACATGTATCTCATGCTGAATAGAGTCTGGTTTCTAGAACTGACATTTTATTGACACACTTAAGAATAGAACCGTAATGGTGAGCCTTGGCACTCCAAATATTCCTGAACTTTATTTCCTATGATACTTGGCCTATTCCTTGAACCAAATCTACATTCTAATCTAACTTTCCAGAGCTTTGTAAATGCACAATACCTTAAAGGAACACTGCAATCCAAACACCATACACACTACAGCACCCTGCAGTAGTTATGGTGACTGGGGAGCCCAGTTACCCCCTTCCACTCCCCTTCAAAAGTGGTCAAATGTATTTAGAACGGTTTTGCAGGTTTCCAGGAGTCTACTGGGTGGACGTTCTACATCAATAACCAAGTCAAATCATTTGGCAACCCTGGTACCATAACCACTACAGCATGCTGCAATGGTTATGGTGCCTAAAGTGTTCCTTTTTATTCTTACCTTTTCTGTGTCCATCCCATGGATAACCAGATGCAATATTTAAAGAGGCTCAGAAAGTCTACTTTTGTTAAAAGTGGAATGCAGCAAATCTGAGATGTGGCAAATTGGAAAATGCAATTATCATGCAATTTCTTTTTTTGCTGCGGTATCATAAAACAGGTTTTCCAAGCGTCCTTTCCATTTATGTGGATTATTGATTTAATTTCCGTGTGGTTCCTTTTAATGGATTTATAATTAGAACATTGTCACAATAATCAATAGTGAGATTATTAACCATGTAAATAAAACCCACTGATTTAGGGTGAGGTAAGAACTGCGTTATCGGCAATCGATGGCTATGGTCAGACAGGATTATTTCCACCAGTGAAAGATATATTCTCGAAAGTAGACCATTAATATTTGTATTTTCTGCAGAGACACAAATGTTGTTTTTGTAAGGAAATATTGTTTTTTAACAGAATAAAGAAGTGGCGTGATGCATTACTACTGCAACGAGCGCATACACTACATTGTGGCTTCATTATATTACTAGAAGATAAAACATACTGCTGCGATATATATATATAGTGTCTTGTGGATTTAGTCTGGTGTAGATAAAAAAAAAAAAAAAACAAGGAGGTACAGTTCAGTTTTGCTTGAAGGTATTCATCTATCATCATGGTTGTTTTAATATTCCGCTCTATACTACGACCATTGCCAATGACAAGTCATATCCGTTTCGTCAGATGATGCACTGGACTCCTGTAAGGCAAGGGAGACCCTATACACATAATCCTCATCCCTCAATTACTGCATTCCAGCGTTTTCAAATTGATTGTTCATTACCCTGTACAATGTTTTTTATTATTATTTTTTTAATTGTATTTTAATTTTGAAAAAAAAATTTTTTTATACCTTTTTAATTTTTAAAATTTATTATCATCAGAATCCCCTTTTTGGTAATGTGAAGGCCACCGTATAGCTTGTACTTGATTGATGTTGAGAAACCATAAACTTTAGTTTAATCTTGGTCAAGCAAAATGTCTAATAGTTGACCAATAAAAATAATTATTTTATATTTTTTTGACATTTTATTTTCAGAGTGGTTAGAACGTCAAAGACATTGCCAAGAAGCCGAGCAGTAATGCGAGGTCATTAACTCCTATCCATTAGCTAAGATTAAAAGCAGCACTTTGTTGTTTTTTTTGTTTTTTTTTTCATCTTTTTTTTGAATCATTTTCCCTCTTCCTTGAGAGCAGAGCACAGTTGAACATAATAGTTACATAAATAATTTATGAGTAGACTTTTTTAAAATTTAAATCAGGATGGCAGAGTGGTAACTATGCAAACTGTTATTTTAAGCAATTCAGTCAGATAGCAGAAATCACTTTTATGGAGAAACCTAGCTAAAGAAGAAAAGATAAAAATCAATTATCCAAATTGCCTCTTCATTTTACATTCCCCTAGTTCACTCATCAGCATTAGCTCCCATTATGCAGCCAAATAGAATCTTTGGATGTTTTGACCTTGTGTTGGTCATAGTGCACTCACGGAATGGAGCTGTCTGGTAATAGTGGCCTATGGGTTCTGTGGTATGGAAGACTCTATTTTAAGGTCTGTTCCATTATGCAAACGAGCACATCTAGATCACTTTAAAGGCTCACTGCTCCAGCCTGGGTTATTTTCATTGTCTGCTTAATAAGCTGTCAAAAGCTTAGAAATACATCTGGGTTATCCTTCCCTTCAGTTACAAAAAATATATATTTAATTTCACAAATCACCTCTTGTGTGCTTGTAATCCTATAATTCAAGGCTAAATTAAAATTTTTCTACATTTCAGTGTGTGTGTGTGTGTGTGTATATATATATTTTAGTCTATAACACTTTAGTATTTGTAAAGCATCAAAATATTGAGGGGGGGGGGGAGGGAGGGGAGAAGGTGAGGTGGAGAAAGAGAGGAACTGTAAGAATGAGTACCAGAACAAAAGGAACCTGGACCCGGCCTGTGGTCTTAAAATGCAGCATTTATAGAACTTTTATACAAAGTGCTTTATATGATGGCTTATGAGCTTACAATCTAAATTCCATTAGAGAAGTGTAGTGAGACAAGAAGTTGCAGTGTTGGCGTGTGGAAGAATATGTATTTATAAATGTTGTTGTTGTTCTGTATTCAATTCACTGTTTAGCGTACTAACTCTCTTTTAGATTGGGTGTCAACACTCAGAACATGGAAGTTCCCCTGTGTCACCGATGTGTTTGGGTATCTAAAGCGAAAATCATTAACCTCATTACTCTGTATGATGCCCAATCAGTTTTACACACCTTGAAGTGACACCTGGGTTTTAGCCAAAGGGTAAACTTGATGACTCTATAAACAAAAAGAGGTGCCATTACATATATCTTCCTCTCTACCCATGGATAATACCTAACTAATAGAGGGGTGTGCAGCAAACGTTTTCTACCCAGCACCCCCTTCTGACCTATTCCCTCAGTAACCTGGCAAAGCACTTTACTACTGATCTTTCTTTTAGAACAGTGTCTTATACTCTCCTGCCCCCTCCACCAAACGTAGTGTTCCGGAGCAAGAGAACCCCACTTCCAGGACCTCAGCCCCCAAAGCCACCCTACTAGTAGCGCCTATTAGGGATGCACTGAAATGCAAATTCTGGGCCGAAACCGAAAATTCAGGATGCCCTTGGCCGAAAACCGAAAATGACTTTTTCCTCCAAATGATTTTAAAAAAGTTTTTTTCCTATAATTTTATTAATATTAGACTGTTTAATGAATTTAATCGAATATGAAAAACTTCCCTTCTCTTTTAGTGGTCCCCACGCTTAATGTTCCTCTCTCCCCTCTCTAGCGTTCTTTCCTCTCTCCTCCCCTGTCCCATAGTGTTCTTTTCTCCCTTCCCCAGTCCCATAGTGTTCTTCCCTCCTCCTCCCCTGTCCCATAGTGTTCTCCCCATCCCATAGTGTTCTTCCTCCCCTCCCTTGTGTCCTATATTGTTCTCCCCCCCTCCCTTATCCTATTGTTCTCCCCTCCTTGTCCCATATTGTTCTCCCCCCTCCCTTGTCCCATATTGTTCTTCCCCCCCTTTCCCTGTCTCATATTGTTCTCCCCCGTCCCATAGTGTTCTTTCCCCCCTCCTCTGTCCCCATCCCATGTCCCATAGTGTTCGCCTCCTCCCCTGTCCCATAGTGTTCTTCCCCTCCCCCTGCCCTGTCCCATAGGTGTTCTTCCCCCCTCCCCTGCCCCATGGTGTTCTCCCCCTCCCGTCCCATAGTGTTTCTCCCCCCCCTCCTGTCCTGTTCTTCCCCATCCCCTGTCCCATAGTGTTCTTCCCCCCCCTCCTGTCCCATAGTGTTCTTCCCCCCCTCCCTGTCCCATAGTGTTCTCCCAGTCCCATAGTGTTCTTCCCCTATCCTGTCCCATGGTGTTCTTCCCCCCTATCCTGTCCATAGTGTTCTTCCCCCCCCCCTCCCTGTCCATAGTGTTCTTCCCCTCAGGTCCATGGTGTTCTCCCCTCCAGGTCCCATAGTGTTCTCCCCAGATCCCACAGTGTTCTTCCCCTATCCTGTCCATGAGTGTTCTTCTCCCCCACCCCTACCCTGTCCATAGTGTTCTCCCCCCTTCCCTGTACCATAGTGTTCTCCCCCCCTTCCCTGTCCCATAGTGTTCTTCCCCCCTCCCCTGTCCCATAGTGATCTGTTCTTCCCCCCCCTCCCCTGTCCCCCAAAAAACAAACAAAAAGTTTTTTCATTTCGGCAAATTTGACACGTTTTCGGCCGAAATTTCGGTGCATCCCTAGCGCCTATGTTAAGCACCATAATGTCCAGAAGTTTTTGTGGTGGCTATGAGTATTTGATAGCCTAGTGTTCGCAGCCTCTAAATCGAGTGGAAGATTGGACAGATGTAGATGTCCAACGGGAGACGTGTTTGATGGGACAACCCATTTTTTGCTTTACCACTCTATGGAACTCCTTGCACCATAGACACTACAATAAGCTTTGGTGCTTAGTATCACTTTTAAAGTGGGATTCATTTATACACAAAACTGATTTTTTATTTTTTTGTCTGATAGTGTCATTAATATTTAATTTATTAGAATAAACCTATTTTGATAATTTGTTAGGAGTTGATCAATTTAAGTTATTTGAATTATTCCTTTTCATCCTGGAGATTTTATTGCGTAACATTGGTATGCCCATGACCTTCTTATAGCAGACTGTGATACACACGTACTGATTCAGCCTGTGTGGATCTATAAATGACTTCCTCAATGTCACATCGTGTCGTTCCAGTCCAAGCAATACAATATAAATGGACATCATGGGGAATTTTAGCATTAGCTTTCTACACTCTTGACTCTGTCCCTGTGGGAATGAAACTTACAAAATGTGTTACAATAACAGTCCAAACCTTTGATATTTGAAAGATAAATTTCACATCATGAAGATAAAATATACTCTCTGATGTACACCTTGGCTACAGTTGTGTGTGTGCCTATTTCTATTTTTTTATGAAGTTGCTACGTACAGATATATTTCCAAATACCGCTTTTGAGTAATTTTTTGGGGATATCAATGCTTGCAACTGAACAGCTACAGACAAAAAGCCCCAACTGCAGACTACCCTGACAATCCGCTAAATAATAAAGTCTTTTGAATTCACACTGACAGGTATAGATTTGCTTTAAGTGCATTTTCTTCCGAGGTTTTATATATCCGTCTTTTGTGCTTCTTGTCGTCCCACAAATCTATCCATCACATCGTGACCTTGTTAATTTATGGCTACAATCTTTTCATTTTTGTTGAACATTGTGTATGTTTGTGCGAGGGGAGTGGATGAGGATAATAGCAGGACTTGGGTCAATAAGAATGAAAACGGAATGTTTATATATTTTAAGTCATTAAGATGTGTTGCTAACCCTTTTTCAAGGCCATATTTCAAAGTTGATAATGGGAAAACATACAGACACATAAAGCATTGCTAAAAAGAGATTCATCAAGTGATCCACTACCTTCACCTTTCTTTGTCTTGGCTGCTCCTGTCAGAGCTGCTGTGGGGCCCATTTTTGTAGAGGGTTAGTGGGTACGCCCTGCATTTTACTGGTATTTCAGAACACCTGCCAAGTTAATTTAATTGTGATTTATTACACAAATCGACAAACATGTGTTGGTAGCTGTAAATGTTGCGTACTCTTTACACACAAGCTATTTAGTGGACATAATTTATTTTATTGCTTAGTAAAAAGTACGGAAGAGAAAAAGGTAGAAGAAACTCATTAGCAGAACTAACAGAGGAGGATTACACATGAATTAAAAAATAGAATTTTACACACAAAAAAAACAAGAGATTGTGTAGAAATCAGTTACAACTTTGTATTTCTCTTGATTAATTTCCAAACTCAAATAATACTTCGTTGCTTTGGCGTTGGTTATAGAGACCTTAAGATTTAACACAAACCATGGCATGTTAAAGGGTTACTCCAACCATCACGGCCACGTCAACGATTTGAAGTGGCCATAGTGGTAGGAGTATGTATGTGCTGTGTTTCCGCCTCCGCCTGTTGCCTTCTTTTTTGCCTTTGTCTCATGCGCATTGAGCCGGTGAAATGGTCCAATTACAGAAGGCAGTCATTGGACCATGTGAGGCCCCTGTGATGTCAGAGAGGGCCTGTTAGAAACATATATATATATATATTTTTTTAAATCGAGAGGGTGGGGACCTTGTCCATAGTGCCAAATAGAACGCTATGCACATTAAAGGTTGGAGTAACTCTTTAACTTTTATAAATTGTGTAACAGTTTGAAAGTGTTTACATTTTCTTATGTGGCATTCTTTCTTTTATTTTCTGCATGCCTTAAGAGAGCACTTTTACAACAGTTTTCGAGGCAGTCATCCCAGAGGAAGAGATGTAAATGACTGTTTTAATTCATATAACACATGCATGCACTATGCAGTTAGGAAAGTTTTTCGTACACTTTACACCAGTGATTCCCAAACTTTTTAGATTCAAGGCGCCCTTAATATAGAAATATTTTTCCAAGGCACCTCAAGTCAAAATTTCTAGGTTGTCTTTTACTGGCATTTACTGGCGCTTTAGTGTAATGTATAGTGTTGGTGTTTGAAGGGGTGCTTGTATATAGTTTTAGTGTTTTAATACAGGGATCTGATTGTATGTGGTGTTTGTGTTTTATTGCAGGGGTGTGTCTGAATATAATGTTCACTTTTAAATGTGGATGTACATTTGTGTGAAGCATTTGTGTTTAAGTAAAGGTGTGTGTATATTTTTGGGGGGTTTGAATGCAGGGGTTTGTTTGTATGTAATATTTGTGTTAGATTGCAGGAGTGTGCTTGTTTGTTTTCCTGGTGTTTGACTGCTTGGGTGTATATACATACATACATACATACATACATACGCACACAGATACATAAATACACTGACACACACAAATTCATATAGACACTGAGACATACACACATGCACCTTGATACATGCACACACCATGACACAGATACACACACACACCCTGAAACACACACACTGACATATAAACACACAGATGCACACCCTGACACACACACACGCACACTCACAAACACCTTGACACACACACACACACACAAGGGATATTTCTTCATATCTCCAGTCACCCTCCTGGTATTTTACCTTATGTGTACAGCGCTACGGAATTTGTTGGCGCTATATAAATAATAAAATAATGATAATGATGTGTCCAGGAGGATAGCTTGGAGTCCTGCTGCTGGTGTGAGTCTGGAGCAGCTCCTGCAGTGCTGCTCTCCCCTCGTGGCTGCCTCCCCCTGCGCTGTCTCCTTGCAGGATGCTGGGAGGAAGTGATAGGCTGTCACTTCCTCCCAGCCGGCCAGTATTACAGGGTCGTGATCTTAAAGAACCGCGACACTCAACCGGGTCCCTGTTGAGCTGTAATGTTTTCCCGGTGATATAATCATAGCACCGGGGAAATATTCCATGGCACCCCTGTGTGCACGATTATATATAAGTATGTTATCTGCCAACTCTAGCCTATTAGCAAAGCAAACCTCATTGTGTCAGACTTCAAGTTTAAACTCCTTTCGCCCACGATAGATCTGAGATGTTTTAAAAATGATCTAAACTAATACTCTGAGCCAGTAAGATGAGCCTATGCTACAGGATGTAGCTCTGTGGACCTACCAGAGGTAAGTTGTCAAGCTATTTAAAATAGTTTGCCTCCTTACTCACAAGAGCACACCTAGCACCAGTTAAACTAATGTCAGCTGTTGTGGTTATGGTGCTTGAAGTGTTGCTGTAAAGCAATGTAAACTATGATTTAAGCTTTGTTTTTTTTTTTGCTGCAAAGTCCTGTTATGCACTTCTCTACACTTTTTTTTTATTTTTAAATTTTTTATTTTTGCAGTGCAAAGAATAGGTACATGCAGTCTCAAGGTGCCCCAGAAGCAGTCCTCAAGTATTTCCCTCGCGTAACATGCGGGGCTTCAATTATCAGGCACAATTTTATAATATAAGCAGATTTAACATTGTAGCTTCAGCTGAAGAATATAAGATTATGTTATAGTCAAGTTTAGTCAGAGCGTGGGTTAGGTTAGTGACCGCATGAGTAACCAAGCATATAAGAACATTAAACTATGCATGCATGCATGTAACCTCAGTGAAAACAGTCCACGTTGACATAATTTGACCAGCTGGATAAGCACCGAGTCACTTATGCTGGCATTACAGTAGTGAGCACCACTGTCGTCCACTGGCTGTAACGTGTTGTCTGACGATCAAAGGTGCAAGTGAGAAGGCTTGTGAGTTTGTGGTGGCGGTTGGTGGTCATGACTGGCAGCGGTATATCAGTCCTGAACTTTGGTTGGGGCATTCACCCCACCCCGGTCATCGGGAACAGGTAGGTGTAAACTGGAGGGGTTGCTGGGCTAGGTGTTGCTTGTCTCCACCTCCAGTCCTTGTCCGAGTCAGTGATAGCTGCAGTGAGGCAGTGTGCAGAGGTGGCAGCCCGATGGGAGTGAGGTAACCACAGCCTCATGCCCCGGGCTGCTGAGGAGGCCGACATCTTCTTGCCACGGACGCGGTAGCCTGGATGGGCAGAGTCTCTCCCGAGTGGGGAGCGGCAGTGGGTTCCGATGGTGTGCCGATGACTTAGGGTCAAGCCCTTGGTGGCCCCCAGCCCAGGTAGGCCAGTGGCTGGAGAAACTAGGCCCGAGGGGGTCTCCTGCGCTCCCCAGTTCGCAGCTCTCCACGCCTTCGCATGTGGTTGAGGCTGCAGCTGAGCTACCCGGTGCCCCAGAGCTCTCCAGAAGTGCCGAAAGTGCTCATCAATTCGCTGTATGAGTTGCTCTACGGGGCAACAATGGGACAGTCCTGATTGCTCACTTGTATCGGCTCCAGGATGAGACGCTTCCGCCATTTTGATGCAGGTTGCTGTGCTGCGAGTGAGTTGGCAGTTAGGCCTGTAGATTGCTTCTAGGCCCTGGTTTGGACTAAAAGGTAAGTGCCGTGGTGGCTCGTTGTGATGGTCCAGTGGGGACTGGGATAACCCCTGCCGGTCCAAGGGGGGGTGGTAGGAGTGTTTCCAGAGGCTTGTGTTGCTTGTGAGCAGGGAGATTGGTCCGCCTCTCCTCTGCTCCGTCACAGCAGGCCGCAGTGTTGGATCGCTGGTCCCCAGCGTGTATTAGACTTTGCTTAGGCTTCAGGTCACTTTGCTGGACCCCCCTTAGTATTGTGGTTCTTGTTGGTGTGTTTAAATCGCAGGTTTACCGGGATTAAAGTCCTAAATTCAGCCCAATTTGCAGGAGCTCAGGTCACACACGTCTCCTCTGCATGATAGCTAGGCTCCGTCCCTTCTTGACACTTTTGAGCTCCTAGAAAAGAAACACACTGTGTCAGGGAAGTCTGGAGGGGTTTTGGCATAAATTGACGCACTCACTAATGAGCAAGGACACTACATATGTTTGCCATTACCCACAATAATTATAGCCAAAAGTAGTGTCTACTTTTTCAGTTCTATTAGTTAAAATGTCTTAACTGCAGAACCATTTGTGATTTAAAAAATAAAATAAAAAGTTAGACATTTTATGAATTCTGATTAATATAAAGCTTTTTATTTCCATTTTATTTCCATTTGTTTCTGACAGCCGCACTATCAGACGTGATGTTCGAGCTATATGTATGGCGTGATGACTCACTCTTGCAAAATGTAGAATTCAACATGTCTAGCAACTATTCTAGACCTTTATCACCGCAATTTTATAAAGTGTGTTCCTGGGGGGAGGGGGTGGTGTTAAAATACATTTCCCAGTTTGTTAAAGTGTATTTAACGTAGTCTGGAAACTGTCACTTCTGCTTTATACTCTGACAGATTTTCACTCCTCCACAGTTTATTTCCCACTAAATGATCTCTGTGAGCGTATTCTGCCACGCTTTCCACGCCAAGATAAATCTGGCATAGGAGAATGCCGGATAGGATAATAAAATAATTTTCTGGTGCAATAAAGTCCTAAATTTGAATAAACACAAACCACAACACAAACGTAATGCACCTTTTCAGCAGTGTGAATCAGTACAATGGTGAGACCCCATGTGTACAATTCATCTCTAAATAAATGCCGGACTATTATTCAAACCAAAGGAGTAATAAAGTGCATACACAGAACAGTGTCACTTTGTCCCACAGAACATGCCACAGTCAGTTTCTCCATTAAAACATACCTAGGTCAGTTTTCCCATTAAAACATACCTAGGTCAGTTTTCCCATTAAAACATACCTAGGTCAGTTTTCCCATTAAAACATACCTCGGTCAGTTTTCCCATTAATAAAATACCAACGTTAGTTTGTCAGGTATGTTTGTATGAGGTGTTGGTGTTAGAATGAACAAGTGTATGTGTGTGTGAATGTAGGGGTGTGTTTGTATGCAATGTTGGCGTTTTAATACAGGAGTGTGTTTGTAGGTAGTGTTGGTGACTGGTTGGAACAGTGTGTTTGTATGTAGTGTTGGCATTTGATTGCACATAGTGTTGGTGGCTTGAATTGGTGTGTTTGTATGTAGTGTGGATGTTTTATTTTGAATACTGGTATATATGCTTACATACACATGCAGCTTCACACTAACACACAGACACACATATACACTGACAAACACACACAGATACACAAGTTGCAATGGACCCATTTCTCTCCACCTCCTGCTTCAATACCTTTTAGATGCAGTAGGGTTTGCTAAGGATGACAGGAGTCTGAGGCTGTCTGTGTGCTTGCCCTCCTCCCCTCTTTGTGTCTCCTCTGTCCTCCCAGCCTCCACATGGTCTGTGAGCTGGAAGGAAGTCACAAGAAATTACTTCCTCCCAGCACTGTGTGCTGACATTAAAGGGGTTGCTCTGCTAAAGGGACGCAGTACTTGACCGGGTCCATGATCAGACCAGCCTGCCTATAGGATATACCCCAAGTGCTTGATGGGCCCCCAAAGCCTCCGGGCCTGTTGCAGCTGCACCAGCACAAGTTCCTCCACTGGACGGCACACATAGTACAGTGCTGCGCCACACCTGTCTGAGCTCTGGTTTAAAGCAAAATGCTGAAATATTGCAATATGTTTTGATGGTATTCCAAATACAATGTAATATTGTAACATTCTGCAGCTAGTGGTCTGGAATAGTGGTTTGTCCTTTGGCAGCTGCACACACCGGCAGTGCATACTCGTAACATAAACCAGCAAGCCCGGAATGGTGAGATGCTGGATGCAGTCAAACATATTTTGCAACACAATGTCTAGCTTAAAGGGACACTTCACGGCTTAAATAAAAAATAAATCACTGTTTAGTAGAATTACCCCAAGACCTCATGCAATTGCTGCCTCTTGAGCTAAACAGACAGGAAGTAACCGGACCTGTTGTCTGACAGTCAGGGGGTGTAAAAAGGTTAATTTCTAAAATTTCAAATTTCTATTAAAATCTGCGGTTTTTGTAAAATTAAAAAAAAAAAAAAAGACACGCTCATCACACATAAGGGATTTATAGTTTCCTTTAATGTACACCTACATGAAGGTGAACTTCTGATCCTCCACTTTTTATGGATTACATGTTTATGACAAGAATGCATTGGTCAGTCTTAACCTTAGATATAGTTAAACGGATATCCTCTACGAACAAAATGATTCTGGACGCCCTGGTTGAACTTATTATTTGTATCCAAAGTATTCCCAATATTCTATTGGCCTCAAGGATATCTGTCTGGACAACTATGTCAGAATTCCCTATTGTAGAGTTATGAATTGTATCTACCCACACAGGTAGCATATGAATAAATATTTTAAAAAGTTAATTAACATTAAATATGACACCATTCTTGTTGCTAGTAACAAAACTACTGATGAATGTCATGGCTATTGCTAGTTGCCCTCCTCCCACCACCCCTCACCCCCTTTCGAGTTTATTAAGATAGACATTTCCTATTTTCTTTTCCCTTAATCGAAAACAACCTTGTACACTTTAAGAAGGCAAGTCTCTTCTCAACCCTTATACAGTTGAGGCTTTGCATGGCTGCTGTCTAGAGCAGGGGTAGGCAACCTTTGGCACTCCAGATGTTGTGGACTACATCCCCCATAATGCTCTTACACCCAGAATGCTGGCAAAGCATCATGGGAGGTGTAGTCCAAAACATCTGCAGTGCCGAAGGTTGTCTATGTCTGGTCTAGAGGATGCGAAGTCTCAGTCTAGGATGTAACCTTGGCCTTTCAGCTATTGTGAGACTGAAAAGTCCAACAGCACTTGAACACCCCTGGGTCAAGGTGGACAGAATGTTTTTTGTTTTTTTCCAGCATAGTTAGTCAGGTCAACTAGTGTCAAATATGAATTTGTTATAACTGAATGAACACTTATTAATTTTTTTATTATTTATATTTATGAAGCCCTAATTAAATTGCAATATGATTATTTGACATTTTGATCAGAGATTTCATTTAAATCTTTTAATGCTTTGTGGAATGCAGAAAGGTTAGGAGTCAGACCGTTTTTATTTTGCTGTCACATAAAAAAATGTTTCCTTTATTTGTTGGTGTAGTCTGGCATATGATTTAATTAAATTAAAGTTTTTAGGTCATAATATAAATACAACAACCGATACAAAGGGACACTTAACTACCCTTTGCGAGATTCCGCTACTGATTTGAATGACGTGTACCTAAACCACACTAGGAAGGTAAAAGATAAAAAAATTACAAATGAAGAATAATTCTTGACAATCTTAACTGAACCATATAAAGGGTTGTACGAGCCAGAAAATATCACTGCTTATAATTTGTGATTTAGGTTTTCATGCTTGTCAAAGTGTGTAACTGTGCTGTGTCCGTAACGAAACAAGGCTGTATATTTCTGTTTGTCTGCTGCATTTTTCAACAGTCCTTATGATACAGCGTAACAAAGCATGCTTGTCCTCTTTCGTTATGTGTCATTGTCCTTAATGTGACTTTAGAAGCAGCTACAAGGAAATGCACCCAGACAGATGGCTTGCACTCATTTCACTTGTGTTTTTTTTGTTTTTAGCCTGACACTCCATTCGCAGATGGGGGAAGGGAGAGCCATAATGTTGAAATAACTGCTGGCCCTAACAGAAGAGACCAGACTTTGACGAACTGCACCCAGAGTTTGGTTCCACCAGCTGTAGTGTCTTCTGGAACGTCAGCCGCTGCATCCTTCTTCATCAGGTACCCTATTAATAAACGAATAATATAACAAATGAGTAACATCAAAACATGCAAACTCAAAGTGGGTAATATCTTACAGCAGAGGTGCTATGTTTGGGATCAGAGTTTTGGGATAAATTCAGACTTTGTTATTGTTTTTGTGTCTATGTAACATTTGTACATTGTGTGGCTATGTGTATACTCATTTCCCCCCAAAAAGACTATATGACATCTAAAGAAAGATCCAGCATCTAAAAAGTCACACACATCCTTTAAACTAATCACTTTTTTCAGGTGTATTTTGTAAAGTAACATTGTGTTCGATGTGCTCATGGTTTGCGCATTGTTAACGGAGCGTGTCAGAATTGGTTTTCCATTAGCTGTAGAGTGAACACTGTTTATGAGACCCACCTGTGTAATTTTGGGAGTGTTAGGCCTTCAAACTTGAAAATCAAATGAACCATGGCCAGTGAACCAAATATAAAAGAACACTCCAAGTACCATAACTACTACAGTGTGCTATGGTATGCTGGCACACCTCCATGCCTCTCTTCTTCTGGTACAGAGACCTGAAAGGTTCTGCCAGCAGCTTCCGTCAGCACTCCTTAGCTAAGTAAGCCCTTCTGATTGCAGACAGGCAGGGACTGGCTCCTAGTGGGCCCCAGATAAGAAGTCAAACCTTTAGCAAGTTGTTTGTCTCCTGACCTTCAATGGTGCAAAATAATTCCTGGCACCATAACCACTGTGTAGTGGCTATGGTGTTTGGAATGGTCCTTTTCATCGGCCCAGAAGAACCATGTTAAAACAAAAAATGTCCCGTCTGTAAATATTCAGGAGGAAGTTGTGGTGTCACTAAATAGTAATCAGTTTTAAAATGTACAAAAACCGAAGCTTTATGTAAAACTATTAACTCTATTGACTATTCTTATGTCTATGATTCAAAATGACTCTGATCTCAATGCAAATCTGTGTTAACAATGTTTGGCATTATTGCAAACCATTGTAACACATTGTACATGTTTTATACAGAAGTATCACAAACTACATTTGACAAAGTGACAGAATTTAGGAGCGTTATGGTCATAATCAAATGATTATGTCAACCTGGTTATCTAAAAAGACAAGCACCATAACTACTATATCCTATTTGTAGCTGTTATGGCGTCAGTAGCCTATGGGCACCATCCCTTGGTTCTGAATCAAACAACTTTTGAGCAGATCAACAAAAAAAGGTGTCCCCTTGTACCTGTCGACCAGCCCCTCACGTGTCATATTTCTAATTCCGTACTTAAAAATCTGCATTAGAAAAATCTGTTTTTGTCCATATTAGGAGAGCAGTGATTGGCTGAGCTTTCTCAGGTATACACTTTTAATAGGGGGGCAGGTAGAATAATGGAAACACGGAGCTTGATAATTACAAGAAATTGTTTAGGTTTTCTCTAACTATACTGCTAACTTTGGGCTACAGAACCACAAATTTTACTCCCATTTTGTCCAAAATGCCCATTATAATATGAGCTTTTCGAATGCTGCCTTGTTAACCATTTTTTTGAAAAATTAGGCGCTACATCTTTCTTATAAAGGAAATTATTGAAGAGAATTGATCAAACTGTAACATGACATTGATTCTTGCTTGAAACTATACCCAGTTAAAGCTGACTCTTTATTAAGACTGTAAGGGGCCTCTCTCCTTAAAAAATAAATATATAAAAAACTTCTATATAACTGCATCTTGCTCATGTGAAGGTGTTCAATATTTAATGCCATGTCGATTTGCCGCTGGCATTTCCTTTGTGAGATTTTCTGGGATGCATGCACTTCTGATTTTGAACTTAAATCCGCCCAGTTTTAAAATCCCTTTAGTAACATCTGTTTGCTACATCTGGACTGACCAGTTTAAGCATTCTTTCCATCCACTCTCAAATGAAAGGGACGGTGATTCACAGCCAGAAGTGTAGAGTGTCTGTCCTATAGAATATTTTTTACTAAACCGCACACCTTATACTTATTTCTAAACTGCAAGCACTTAAAAGGAAAATAGCTTTTTTTTAGTCTTTGGAGACAGATGCCCTTCAATTTCTGTCTCTGCGTGTTGTGTGCGTTGAATATTCATGTCAGGATTGTAGCATCGAGAAATACATCTGACGCGTAGATAGATTAATAAGACAGAATCACATTTACGGTCTAACTGGCTCTGTATTAAAACCTCTCATTATTTACTAATAAACAATAATGTTATACATAATCTATGAGTCACTATCCTATCAAAGCTTCCTGATGGTTCTCTGCTAGGCATTCGGTCATTATATTGGCCATAAAATAAAGTCAATAATTGAGGTTATGCAAAGAGCACGGACCTTATCAGCTTTATGCATTGGGGAAGCAGATTGGAAAAACTCTGTGTACTGATTGTGTTGTGACCGAGCATATGATTAAGGCATCGCGACCAATATGTTTCTAATGAAACGCCTCGATATATATGCAGCAATATTAGCTCAGTCTCTAAGTGACTAATATGTTCTTTTCTAAACATCTCAGTCTTCAATTAGGTCCAATAAAACAAGCCTATGTTCGTGCACCAAGGAGGACAAATTCAGCTAAGCAGTCTCAGCTGCTATAAGTGCTCTTTTCGTGTGAATCAATTTTCCTAGAATTCTCCAATTATTTATAGGAAGCATTTTTTAAATACTTCTACATAATAATAATCCCCATATCTGTAATGCAAAAAGGAGAAAAATCTTTGGGCATTGGTATCTTGGGTATTAACGATCGAATATTCTACCGATCTAGAGTTAAGAAACGGTCACAATGCTATTTATTACATTCTGAATTTCAAATTTTAAGAGAAAAAAAATTACGGCTTCAGGCTTCGACTCATGCCCGTCCATCCTTGTCATACCTCAATGGTGGCAACTCCTATAGTCAACCTCTGCATCCAGACAACCAACCCCACTATAAAATCTACAGATACCGCAACTGCACCTCTCAACATTTTAAGCTGACAACAAGGGGTACTTTCATTTTAGTGGGGGTGTGGCTAGGGGCGGGGTTATTCTAAGAACATTTAGGCCACTTACTAATAACAATTCAGGCAACTAAAATGTAATTTAGAATAAGAACAATGTATCTTATTTACCAGACTGAATTCTAGTTTAAAGACACATTACTGGGAGTATTATTACTGTGGAGCTCTGTTATACACTCCGACACATTACTGGGAGTATTATTGCTGTGGAGCTCTGTTATACACTCAGATACATTACTGGGAGTATTATTGCTGTGGAGCTCTGTTATACACTCAGATACATTACTGGGAGTATTATTGCTGTGGAGCTCTGTTATACACTCAGATACATTACTGGGAGTATTATTGCTGTGGAGCTCTGTTATACACTCCGACACATTACTGGGAGTATTATTACTGTGGAGCTCTGTTATACACTCAGACACCCCAACAATATGGAACTACTAGAAAAGAGGGGCATTAGGATAAGAAGGGGGGCAGAGTGAATTGTGCTGAAAAGGGAATGTTCTTCCTAAATGGGGGCACTTGGAAGGTATGGAGCAATGAGCTGTTATCAGGGCATAGGGGGAACCATCAAAGGTAGAATGTTATTGAACACCTTATTTGTTGTGTAATATAGAACACCCTTAATGTTTTATGGGGGAAGGGGGAACAGGAAATAGACATGCTTCCAATACACTAATTTTGAGGTATTTCTATTGTTTATGAAATCTATAGCACGTCAAAACCAATTTCTGTCTGCACAAGTATTTAGTAAGTATTTAGAGTATTTGTTATGCTTTTAATGTGTTGCATACAATATAAGACCGTATCTTGTCCTTCTGAATCTCTGTTTTCTTTGTCTAAATATAGGTAATTATTGAGATTTTTATATTTGTTTTAATTCTATCACGTGACCATTAATTGTCACTCCTTTAAACAGAGTTTTAGATTTGATTCTGATGACCTTGGGATGTTGCCATAGAAACAGAATTATAAAGCAGCTGTTTAACACAAGTATCTTTGTGTCATGTTAATATAAACTTGTATGATGTTTCAGAATGATGAACGAAATTCACATATAGCATGGAGCAAGGTTGTGGTTTTAAACAACGGAATCCGGTTGCTAACATGTTGGCGTATAATCCTCCATATTGATGGACGTATGCGCAGGGCTCCAATTGGACAGATTGATTTTAAAGAAAATTCGTAGATGTTTAAAATAGAAAGTGTGTGTGTGTGTGTGTGTGTGTGTGTGTTTTTTTAAACTTCTTTTCTTTTAATTAATTTTTTTAACTCCTGAGACAAATTCCACCACTATCTGTTGGGAAGAGCAGTGATTTTTATTTTTTTAAATCCTATAGAGGCCCAGGTACTCAGAAATCTGCTTATTACCTCTTCAAATTATGGATCTGGTCGAGTGTGTTGTTAGACCCAGAATCCTTTGCTTTAGATCCCAGTGTGCCTTGTGTATTGACGGAACATGATACCTTGTCGATGTTATTTTAATGGTTAACTTTACGGGAAGATACTGATTTATCATACCTGTTAATTTGCTATTAATTTTAAGGGCAATAATGATGAAATTTTAGGAGAAAAAAATAACTGTCATACGATGGGTGATTATTTCTATAATACTGCCTGCCGTTTGTTCTCCTGAAACATTTCTAAATGACCCTTATTTTCCCATTTTATGTGACTGCAGATATATGTAGTGATGGTTTTAGAGCAGAATCAATTTTAAGATCATCTTTTTAATGTTTTCATAAAATATGAAGTTAAAAAGGATTTTTTTTTTTTTAAAAAAGGTAAAAAACAAAAAAAAACAAAAGCTAATAAAAAACATTTTAAACAAGTTCCCAGTCAGACTTACAATGTTAAATTACAGCACAAAGGCAGAGAGCTTTATAACTGCGTTACAGCACTTGGAATAATTGAACTAGAATCCATTTAACAAAGGCAGAGGTTATACAATTAATATTAATAGTTTGCATTTATTTTGAAGTTGGCACACCTGGGGAGTAGAAGCAAAGATTGTTTCTTTGCAGTAAAATAAAATGTGTATACATAAAAAGGTAAAGTGGCTTGTTGGAACTGGAGAATGTGGACAATTCCAGTAGCACGCTACAGGTTAGACAATCGGAATATGCAAACCTTTAAATCAGGAGTGACTGAGTTTCTCATTCATGAAAAAAGAAAACTACTTAACAAGATTTATTTGATGGTTTGGGGGGGAAGGGGGGGAGTACAATTTTAAATTCTGAAACTACAAACGCATGATGTCTCACCACAAATTGATGGTAGTCGTACTAGTGGATAGATTCACTATGTGGTAACCAATTTTTAAGATAAAATAGACTAGCGTAAGAACTGACCACCAGTATGTATATACAAGAACACGTAGGATGGGTTGTAATTTATTTATTTAAAGGGCAGTCTATGAACCATAACCACTACAGTATGCTGTAGTGGTTATGGGGACATGAGTCTCCTGACACCTTCCCTCTCATTACCAATGAAAATATAGAAATTGTCAAACAAAATAATGGAAGTCTATGCATTAAGAAGGTGTTTTCTCCTTTTGCAGGAGAATGTCTCTGATTTCTAAGCTATCTAGTGGACGTAAAATATACAAGGACTCCCAAGTTTATTGGCTCCTTCTGAGTAGAACACAACATTCGGAGGTTTCTCCTATACCCAACCTAACCCTTTTTAATAATACTTCTCCTTGGGAGCCATGGGAAAACCAAGCATTCTATTGTATTTATCAAAAGACTGTCCAGGTGTCAATGTCACACCTCTTTAAATGCTTTTCCTGGTATGTGTGAAACCATAAAATTTGCAGCAGGGTGATAAATGCCACTTTTTAGTGGGTCTCACCTGAGTTTTTATATGTGGTTTATTTTTATTATTCAAATCTACAGTTCCCATGCGATAAAGGAGTAGTTGCAGTTTTACAATCCTGTGTGCAGAACCTTAATGGACTCTCACTAAGGTGGCACCACATTCTGTGTTTATGGGGATAATTCACTAGTTCAGTGATTGACCTTGGCACAGCCAATATTGTATTATTCATATTGATGCTATGGGATTATTCATCAAGAATTGGGTAGAATGTCAGATTTATAGGATTATAATTTGAATACAAACTTTACAATTTGCCATCTATCTCCTCTTCTGGATATCTTTGACATTAATCTGTTGTGTATTTAAAACACACTTCTTTTATACTGAGTGGATATTATTTCTCTGTGGTCAACACCATTCAGTGGACATTAGACACATTCTTTAAACAATCTTTGAACACTTCCCTATTCTGAGTCATGGACCCTCTTGTGTGATAGAAAGATTCACTAGTAGCGATTCCACCTTAGACAATATACCCAGTCTTCATATTCCAGTAACTATCACCTTGTTTCTGTTAGATCCAACCACCTTTGAGACTGAAATGTTCTTCAAAAAGGACCCCAAATCCCTATTATACCATTATGTATTACAGGAATTATGGCATGACATGAAGTTATGCTATTTGTTTGGTATTACTAATGTGGTAGTTAAATGGTTCTGGCACAATGTGAGAAAGATCTTCTGGACAAATGTATTAACATTTATAAAGATTAAATCATTTGGATTAGTATTTGTAAGTTGACATTCTACGATTGTTCGGCAATTGGCGGGGAGACACGGGCCTCCTGCGTCACTAGCATAGTTAGGTTTGTGGACTTCTTCCTCACAGCACATCAGTAAATATATTATTTAACCATGTTCTTTTATTATTGCATCTCTGTTATTGCAGTATTCATATAAAACATTTAATAAAGAAAAATAAGCAAGACGGTCTAGTGTGGTGGGACAATGTGTCTGTTTGGCCTCAGATTGCATTGTTTGTAAATGTAGCCAGGCCTCTCCTGACGGAAATTACTTTCCCCCCACAAGTTCGAAAAGACGTCAGTGAAATACTTTGATAAAATGTCTTCATGTTTTTGCACTTTTTCTCTTTGCAGTTTCTTGTTTGTCATTCTTTGTCATTATTTGAGATCTCTAGCTTTTTTTTCAGGGAAGTAGAAGCCAATAGATGGGACAGATTGAAATGAAACTGTTTCCAAATTTTAAGCTTTATTGCTGGCATAAATGGTGGAAACCATAAAATATCTTAACCATATGTGAGTGAGAGACAGGCTACTTTCCATTGAAGGGATGATAGCAACGCGGTGTGTGTGCCAAGCAGATGGCATTTCAGCTAACACAACAGACCTGCTTATCTTCTTATTGTCTCTCCCCTAATTTTTGTTTACGTAGGAAACTTACTTCCTGTAAGACGTGTGAGACATGTCAGACTGTAATTTGTGCTGTTATTTCAACTGTTTGTAATTTTGAAGGGACAGATATTCTGCGTTTCTTATTGATGCCATTAACCCATGTTCCTTTAGATATATCATTTTTTTTTCTCTCGTTGTTCTTTCCTGGGTTATTTTTTACTTTTGCTTTTTCACTTGAGGTCTGAGTTTAAACATACAGAGATGATCCTAGCCTTGAATTGCCATTAGCAGTTACACAAATTAAGATATGATTATAGGTCATTTTTACAGTTCAAGCATAGCTGCATTGTCTGGTATTACAATTTTGTAAATCTTTTACATATTTATTAGTACCGTGGGTGAACAAATATATAGTGGTTTATTCAAATTTGTAAAGCCTACCTTTATTTTAGAGAGAGAAGACATAAAAAAAACACAACAAAAAACCCTTACATACATATGTGATTTTTCGTTTTCCTGTTCCATATCTCCACCTTTTGGTTTTGACACATTCAATAATTCATTGTAAAGTTTATTTAAAGGGTTACTCCAACCAAAAACCAGTGTTTTATTTGGAGTAACTTCCTAGCCTTGTCCACCCCACCTTCCCAAGCTTAAATCTTAATAAAAGAAACATCCGTAAAAACTCGCCTCTGGTCCAGTTCTGAGGCACACAATGTAATATCATCCTAATGATGGATGCTGCTGGAGACTTTGTTACACCTCCAGCAGCAGTGGGGTGTAACTCCACATGTTAAGCATTTCATAGCAAAATCCCTAAAGGACCACTATAGTGCCAGGAAAACATACTTGTTTTCCTGGCACTATAGTGCCCTGAGGGTGTCCCCACCCTCAGGGTCCCCCTCCCGCCGGGCTGGATGGCGAGGAAAGGGGTTAAACTTAGCTTTATTCCAGCACCGGGCGGGGAGCTCTCCTCCTCCTCCTCTCCACCTCCTCTCCTCCCCTTTGGCTGAATGCGCATGCGCGGCAAGAACTGCGCGCGCATTCAGCCGGTCTCATAGGAAAGCATTCTTAATGCTTTCCTTTGGACGCTTGCGTGTTGTCACTGTGATTTTCACAGTGAGAAGCACGCAAGCGCCTCTAGCGGCTGTCAATGAGACAGCCACTAGAGGATTTGGAGGCTGGGCTAACCCATTTATAAACATAGCAGTTTCTCTGAAACTGCTATGTTTATAAAAAAAAAAGAAGAGGTTAATCCTAGAGGGATCAGGCACCCAGACCATTTCATTAAGCTGAAGTGGTCTGGGTGCCTAGAGTGGTCCTTTAATATACTGACTCCAGGCACCAAGACCACTTCAAATCCCTGAAGTGGTCATGTTGCTTGAAGTAATCCAATCGTTTAGGTTGTAAGCTTGTTTCTCAAGGTCAGGGTTCTTCAAACTCTAGCCTTCCAGATGTTACTGAACTACAACTGACATGATTCTCTGGCTATTGTATTCAAAGAATCATGGGAGTTGTAGTTGAGGAACATCTGGAGTTTGGAGCACCCTGCTTGTATGAGCAGACTCCACAACAACCTTTTTGTTCTTGTCAAAATTTGTAATAGTTTGTCTCATTTTGTTGCTAAATTCCTCTATCTAAAATAATGTAAAGCTGTGTGGAATTGGTGTTCTGTAAGTACCATAAATAATGTACATATTTGTGTATTTGACAACTAAACATGTTTATTGAAATAAAGGCCAATAGGCACTAGTTGTCCACGTTGCATTTCATATAAGATGTGACCGGTTGTCTAGACATTATCTATCACTGCTATATATGTATGGATCAAATTTTTGCAATTCTGTTCACGAATCCTCTTAAACACACAATCCCTTTGTAAACAAATTGTAGTCACAAAATTCAGCTCAGTGATCTGTAGTGAAGAGATATCAGGGATTTCAAGTTGCTTATTTCAATGATAATCACAATTCATAAGACACGATACCGTGTGTAATGCAAACAAATTGAATTTTGAAATTATAGTTAAGAAAATGGGAAATGTCTTCAGGAACTCATCTGGTTTTCCAAAAGCCGTTTCGGAGTAATCTGCTCCAGTCTTATTGAAAATGTCACAAAAAACATTATCTGGTGAAAATTGAAAAGGAAATTGTACTAGAGTATTAGATAGATTGACAAGTGACAATGTATACAATACATGGATAGGAAATTGATTCTCGGGTGATTAAAATATGAAAGTTCTGTCTTGGCTTTTTCCTTGTGTTTCTTTTTAAGATTGCGTGTTGCTGGAATTTTAGCACCATAAAAATGTTGATTTGCATTTTTTATATTTATCCCTTATTTGTTTTTTTGCTAAATTAACTTTGATGGAGTGGTAACATACATGAGCTTGGACGTTTTATTGCCCATCTGTCTGGAACTAACCTTACAACCTACGTCAGTAAAGGGGTCCATGCAGTCTTCCTTTAAAAAGAAGTGATCACCTTTTAAGTCATGTTAATAGTTTAGAAGCATTTATTTGTATATAGGCACATACCCCCCCCCCCCATGTCCCTTTTTAGGAGGGACAGTCCCTATTTTGAACCCAAATCCCTATGTCCCTCTTTTCTAGGAGATCCATATTGCTGTTGCTGATAAGAGTCTGCGTCCATACCAGTGTCTGTGTGTATACCAGAGCTCCACCGCAATAATGTATCTTGTATGTATCTCGTGTAAATAAGATACAGTGATTGTTCTTGTTCTAAATTATTTTATAGTTGCTTAAACGGTTATTAGTAGGTCACCTAAATTTTTTTTTCAGAACAGCCCTGCACTTGGCTACACCCCCACTCACACCCCTAAATTTAAAGTGTCCCTGTTTGCCCATGTTGTCGGGTATGTAGGTAGAAATGTTGCCAGCAGGTTTGCCCACTCACAAATTAATATAACTCTTTGTCTCTGTGATGGGCTCACAAAGAACCTAATGGACATCATGTCTATAGTCTATGTACTTGTTGCACTAATCAAACACGGAGTCCCGAAAGATAGCTCTTGTTGGTGTGTGATTCTTTTGCGTTTGACACAGTAAATACAAGTAACTAATATATTTTTTGTAGAAGCCTTCAGAATAATTGAAATGAAACAAAATAAATGCAGGTGGACTTCTAATAAGTTGTCTAGGCTTTTGCTTAACTACCCATAACCCATTTTAAGTTAATAGTAAAAAAAATTGTGGGGGAGATGAATCCTTAAAAATCTGTTCTCCACTTCACAGGCAAAACAGGGATGTGTTTCCAAAATAATTGGATTAACCTTTCATTCATGTAATGAATGATTTTCAAATCCACTTTTTTTGATGAAAATGTCAGGTTTTAATTTTATTTGGGAGAGCAAGTCACTGGCTTCAAGGAAGCCAAACTGCTGAGAGGTTCTGTTTAATAAGGATTCCCTGTTCCTACAGAATGCATGACTTGCTGGGTAAATAAACAATCAGTAGATGCCATCACCACCCTGCTAGATGATTAATGTGCGAGAGACAAAGCCTGCTTGTTTCCAGTGATTTATTATCTGGAAGTGCACACACAGATATCACTGTTCACAAAAGATTGGGCTAAAATAATAAAGTAACAAAAGGCAAATGTAGCATTCGGAATTATGACGCTTCATACTGTACAGCTAATTTTGCAGATTAAGACACACTGGCAAGTCTTTCTAGAATTCAGTCTATTGATAGATTTGGTTAATTAGTGGCTCTCCAACTATCATTTTGGATTTAATTCTCCCCACTGTTTATCCAATAGGACTTTGAGTGTGATAAGTTGTCAGTGCTTTATACATTGTATCCTATTCTATAGAGCTTGAGACCTATAGTTGCGAAAACACGATTGCTCAAGTTTCTGAGCCCAAGATACACTCTTCAAAGGTCAACTTGATGTATGTAGGTGATTCATAACAGTAATTTTTTTCTAAATGCACTTTGGTGAGTTTTATTGTGTTTGGCCTCACCATAGTTTTTTCGGCAGCTAGCCTACACTCTCTGAGAGATTTTAACTTCTAGACCAGAACTGGAGCCATGCTGAGAAGGTCAGTACTGCTGTTCATGGCTGGTTTCTGGTCACTGGTCCTTCTGAATCATAGTCGATGCTATGGGTTTAGCTGTCACAGGTTACTTTGGTTGGAGTCTGTAGCGCACATATGTTTGCTCACCCTTGCAGATAAACACGGTCCAGGTGACCAGGTAAGAAGCCACCTGGACAGTGAATCTGTGCACGAGGGCTGTACAGGAAAGGTGCTCCAATACGCAGTACAGACAAGGTCACAAGCAGAAGGATAGTCAGGGGTAAGCCGAAGTCCGAGGAAGCCAAAGGTCAGGATAAACAGAGAGTGGAGCCAAGGTCAGAAGCTGGGGGCAATCTGGAGAACAAGTTCGGGAGACTAGAAAACAGGAACTACATACGATCACTAGAGTCAAAGAACTGGCAAAGTTCCCAGGGCGAGGCAGCGCTTAAATACCCAGTTGATGAGCGATCTGCCTCAGGTGAAGTACAGGTAATCGCCACAGAAGAAGTTCAGCCCCCAGTGCTGCAGATATTGAGCAACAACGCCTGACCGTCTGGATTTAACGTGAGAACCGTGACATTAGCTAAGAGTAACTGAAGAAATGCAGTGTGAAGTTTGAAATACAATGCCTGTCTTTGCTCATTTGCATATCAAGTTGGGAACTCTGGCCCGACCCCTGAGCAGTGGGTGGGGGCCCTAAATAAAAAATATAACCCCCCGTCCCCGGGTGACTAGGGGTCCCCAAAACCCGTAGTCACCCCCCTCCCCCCAAAAATTAACCCCATACCTACTCCCCTCACCCTAAAAATAATGAGGGGGGACCATTTAACTAAGTACCTGGAAAAAAAACAAAAACTTACCATTTTATGTTTTCTTTCTTCTAATATCTTCTTTTTTCAGCCCCAAAAAAGGCCAAATAAAAAGCCATAATAACCGACGCACTTAAAAAACCAACCAAAAAAACCAAGCGCAAACAAAAAAAAATAATCCATCTTCACCCGGCGAGGCTTATAAAGCCTTGCCCTGCCCTGCAATTAGGCTCAGAGCACTCTGATTGGTGGATTTCAACCATCCAATCAGAGTTCTCTGACAGGTAAATGAAGAGACTGACCGGTAAGTCTCTACATTTACCTGTCACAGCACTCTGGTTGGTTTGAAATCCACCAGAGTGCTCTGTGTCATTTTACACAGCGTGGGAAAGTTCTTTGGGATTTTCCCAAGCTGTGTAATTTGACTCATAACATTCTGATTGGTGGATTAAGTAACCAATCAGAGAGTTATGAGTCAAATTACACAGCGTGGGAAAACACCAAATGTACCTATTAGTAATGAATGCTTGTAAAATGTTTTATGCACATTGTTTACGCACTACGTTACAAATATGTATGTTCCTGTTACACCCACTATCAAAACGGAGCACAAGCAGCTACCGCTTGGAAGTTTAAACTCCCATCCCCCAGGTGTGACAGACACACCGGACCCCTCCAGGTCCAAGCACTCACGTCCTAGACCAAACCCCAACACCCTTCCCTAAAACCTTAACCCCACTTTGCCCTACAGCGAGAACAAGGCTCAACCCCGTAACTAAGCCTCCACAACTCTTGGCATCTCCCACCCCAGCCTCCAATACCGACCACCATGAAACTATACACGCACAACGTTAAAGGACTTAACACGCCCCACAAAAGACGCATACTACTAGAAGATTTGAAATGCAATAAGGCAGACATAGTCTGCATACAAGAAACACATTTCGTTTCAAACCGCACCCCTACATTTGCCACAAGGCACTGCTCGCACCAATTCCATGCAACCTTTCCCTCCAAATCAAGAGGAGTCTCTATTCTTCTCCATAACTCCCTCACAGTCGAACCTCTCCAAACCAAAATCGATAGCCAGGGACGATTCATTATACTCCATTGCCTGATCAACAACAACCCACTCCTGATAGTAGGCCTATACAGCCCAAACAACCACCAACACAATTTCCTATACAGAGTTCTCACAAAACTGCTGGCTGATACCAACTCCCCAGTATTAATATGTGGAGACCTAAACCATACGATGGACTCACGCATAGACTCCACAGTCCCCGACACCTCAAACAGACACCTTATACTCAAACGTAGCAACAAAGCATTTGCAAAATTACTACACAACCATGGACTGTACGTCGTCTGGAGAACACTCCACCCAACAACTAGAGAATACACCTATTATTCACAAGTCCACAAGACTTACTCCAGAATTGACCACATCCTCTCATCAGGAACCCTTCTCCAACAAACCGAAGACTGTTCTATAGGAAACATAGTGTGGTCAGACCACGCACCCATTTTAATGACACTACAAGACCAATACCAACATAGTGGCAAACCTCCATGGCGCCTCAATGATACGCTCTTGAACGACAACGCATTCGCACAGCAACTCATTCACCGACTACAAGACTATTTCAAACTAAATGACACCCCGTTTCTGTGGCATCCCTATGGCAGGCTCCTAAAGCAGTCATGAGGGGAACGCTAGTTAGCCGTACATCTTACCTAAAACGCAAGCGAGAAAAGGAGCACATAGACCTCTTGAGGAAACTCCGAGATACAACAAATGCTCACCTTCTGAACCCCTCTGATACACACACTGATACCATTAAACACATAACCAGTCAAATTAACCGCTTGAACCTTGACAAAACAGTTTACATGCTCACCAAACTAAAAATGAAAACGTACACCCAAGGAAACAAAACGGGGAAACACCTAGCACTGATGCTAAAACAAAAACAAGCAAACTCCAAGATCCCATACCTGATAGCACAAACAGGGGAGAAACTTTTTAACCCACAAGATATTAATGATGAGATGGCTGATTACTACCAAAACCTGTACAACCTAAAAAGCGACACAACTGTGCACCAACCTACGGAACACGAAATAGACACCTTCCTCCAACGGACGACACTACCAACGCTTTCAATGACCCAAGCACAAGCCATACAAGATCCAATAACTACACATGAAATTTTAGAAACAATACAGGCACTCCAACCAGGAAAATCACCAGGCCCGAATGGCCTAACTAACTTATATTACAAACAATTCGCATCAAACTTAGCCCCTTATCTACGGAAATTGTTCACTCACATTCTTAACACGGGAACTATGCCACAGGAAATGCTGATGGCACATGTTGCCGCCCTACCGAAACCGGGGAAACCACCGTACAGGAGCCAGAACCTCCGCCCTAAATCCTTACTGAATACGGACGTGAAGCTCATCGCAAAAATTTTCTCAAACAGACTAGCACCCGTCATTCCGACCCTAATTAGAGGGGACCAGGTGGGGTTTGTGGGGGGTAGGCAGGGAGCAGATGGCACACGCAAAATCCTAAACATGCTACACGGACTGCAGGAAGGGAGGGTCCCAACTGTACTACTCTCCTTAGACGCAGAAAAAGCCTTCGACAGGCTCCACTGGCCCTTACTCCTCGCGGTCCTCCGAAAATTAGATTTACTGCCCAAATTCATATCAATAGTCACAGCGCTATACTCAGCCCCAACAGCTTGGGTAGTAAACGGGGGATTCATATCCAAACCATTCTCTATTTCATATGGCTCTAGACAGGGCTGCCCACACCCCCCCTCCCCCCTACTCTACATAGCAGCATTAGAACCCCTAACACAACTAAGAGGCGACCCAAATATCCACGGAGTCACACTCAAGGGTCAAGAATACAAATTATCCCTATTTGCCGACGACATCCTTCTCCCATATATCCCTCCCGAATTTCCACCAACTCCTCACCCAATACAGCAGCTGCTCCTATTACAAATTAAATATCGCAAAAACCCTAGCCCTGGGGATCATGGCACAATTAAAAACCAACTTCACATATGACTGGAGGCATGTTCACATAAAATTTCTGGAAGTAAACTTCACACCCACACCTAACACGCTATTTAAAGCAAACTATATCAAGCTGCTTGGTGAAATCAGAACACTTCTGCAGAGCTGGAAGGTGAAATTCATCTCCTTGGGAGGTAGAATAGCTTCCGTAAAAAAGAATGGTTGTTTTACCTAAAATCCAATATCTATTCAGAACATTACCGATTCAACTCCCACCCAAATATATCCAGGACCTGCAAAACCTTCTACATGACTATATCTGGGAGGACAAGAAGCCCCGAGTGGCGAAGACAACAATGTACCGAACATTTGCCAAAGGCGGGATGGGTCTGCCAGATATAATGGGATACTACAGAGCAACCCACATAGCATCTTTACTAGCATCACAGCAACAGCACAAACCAATGGCATGGACTGAGATGGAAAAGAATTATGCGAATGGTCTATCCATCTCAGCATTAGCCTGGCTGTCTAAAACCCAAAGACCAAAACTCGCTGAAATGCTGCCCACAACCAGGCTACTATCTCAATGTGGGACAACTACCGGAAACGTATGGGCAACAATGTCCTATTATCCCCTGCCTTCCCACTGGAATCTATGAAACTCCTAATCCCGGACTTTAACTACAAACTTTGGCATAGACACAGCATTAAAAACGTTCTCACAGCTACTACAAGGCGCACACCTGAAGCCATTCCCAGACCTCCAGCTCGAATACACACTACCCATCACAGCTATGTTTTCATATAAACAACTACATTTCTGGCATGCCCTGCAACCGAAACAGACGCTCATCCATGACACAGACCCAAGCTGGCATACTATTGAACAAATCTGCACAACAGCCAAGCCAGCCAAAAAACTTATCTCAATCACCTACACATCAGAAAACCTTCGACCCCAACAGCACCCCCCCTCCTTCATAACTGCATGGGAAAAAGACATTGGACACCAACTCTCCAAAGAACAGTGGCACACTATCTTCAAGGCACACAAACAGCTCACTCTGCATGACCCACTTGGAATTAACCGGCAAAATCTTATACAGATGGTACTTAGTCCCCACACGCCTTAAACACAGCTTCCCCGCCACATCAGATATCTGCTGGAGATGCCAGAGAGACAGGGGCACCATGCTACATATATAGTGGCACTGTACGGAGCTTCATCAATTCTGGTAACAGACTGCGAATCTAATCACTAAGTGCACGGGGACACAGCTACCATTCAAACCTGAAGTATTCCTTCTCCTCCAAAGGCAACGTACAAGCACCAGACATACCTCACCTACCATATCATCATAGCTGCTCTCACTAGCATTAGTAGGAAATGGAAGCAAACCACCCCCCCCCCACAATAACTCAATGCATCGCAGTTATAGACACCAACAAAACATATGAAACCATGGCCAGACGCACAAAACAAGCAGCCCCATACTGGCTTAAAGCATGGGGAACCTGGGAAAAACATAAACCTACTTAATGCAGACTACCGGCAAATATCGTAATACAATTAAACCTCCTCGACCAGAGGCAATACACGAGTCATCTCTCCCACTGACACCCACTTCGAACAGAGGCCAACCACAAAACATGGCCACAATATCAGTAGCCTTCGCTGCTGCTACCCCTAACCTCTCTCCCCCATCCCCGCCATGGCCCATCGAGGACAATGACACACACTGTAGCTCAGACCATAAAACCTAACAACAACAACACCCTCTTATGGGATAAGACAGTCGAGGATAAGGGCACTAAACTACATGAACCACAATAATTCACTAATAGATACAATGACACAATCAATGTAATGCATGTACTACAATGTGTACCATCTCGAGATGCTGTTTGACCACACGATGTTAAAAATGACCAGCTCATCACTGTATCATGGTAGGGCTCCCCCACCCCCTTCCCCCTGATTACATTCTGTACCCTTACCCGACTCACAAGCTTACTGCAGTTATAAAAAAATGTTTTTTCCTCCCCCTCCAACCTTTTTTTCTGTACCCCCATGACGAATTGAAAACCAACAAAAATTGTCAAATTCAAAAAAAAAAAGTTGGCGCTATATTAATGCCAATAATAATGCGTCCTCCACCAATATACGCTTATCTGTCAGGCAACCTTAATTTTCTTGAAATTATTGAGTCCACCCATTGTTTAATTTGTTTTAATTTAAGGAAGATGTTGACGTACATCCTTTTTACATGTAATTTTATTTTCTTTACATTTCTTTTTATATTCAGATAATAGCTTTACGGCTTGAATATTGTGCTGAGATGGACGCTTTCACAATGAAAACCGTCAAATCTCAAATTGGAGATTATAGCTAAATCTGTGATAGAATGAAAATATCTGTTCATAATAATGGTGTAATCTGATTTGTTTATTGAAAAAAAAGCTTTTAGTGACAGTTTTATTTTTTTAAATTGAAGATAATCTTTGTACTGCACATTGCTCCACATTGCAAAATCCACTTTGGTTTATTCCTTGCAAATCCATCCGTTTATTGTGTGAATTGACACGCAGTTAAGGAAATATTTATCGGAACTGAACAGACAATGGCATGTTCCCAGAGTCTTTGCTTTAATGCTGAGATGTTCATAAGACTGAAATTTAAAAACCGTGTTAAACCAGAATCGCCATTCACCATTTATAAACTCCAGCTATTACCCTGGGGTTTAATATCAATTAATATCCATTACTGTATAAAGACTTTTACTGTGTAAAATCAATACATATTGTGAATTATGTAACAAATACCATTAATAAAAATGGAAGAAATTCATACACCCTATAACAGTGCTGTATAACGATTTCTGATATTTCCACTTGCATAAGTGTTGTTTATAGGAATATTTTGCAGAATTTTAATGTGAAGGGTCTATTGTGGGTCTGTCCAAAAGCGAAAACAATAGAGGTCTTAATACATTTTTTCCCCCCTCTTCTCCGATTACAATAATAGGTTAATTGCTATTTGCTATCTATTGCTATTAAAATTTATTATCGAAAAACAGACCTGATGATGATCAAGCTGTGAGTGTCTTATTGCTGTAGTGTAGAGGTACTTGTAGTTTTTACATGGCTTAAATGACACAAGCATTTTAACTTTTGTGTTGTCTGAATATGCAAAATATTATAGGTTTTGTGTCTCTTTAATGTAACATTATTACTCCCCATCTCTAAACCAAATGTTGGAATTGTGTGCTAATCCCATTAAAATGTTGGACAACAGTGATTTTGTATCAATACGTACAAACATTCAATTGCATTCCACAGTGAATGTTTTACAAATCGCAACAGATATTACCTCTAGAATAGGTCTGGCTTGATAAATAAAACTTTATTCTCTTATATCTGTCACAATACTATCACATGTATTTAGTGCTACAGAATTCTGTGTTATTTTGACAATAACAAAAGTTCATGTTTAGTATCAAACATCACATTGACCCCCCAGCAGTTGGCTTTCAATAACTGTCATTGTGAAGCCTAAAGTGCTACAGGCCTGATCAGGGGACTTTCCTCTGTCAATCTATATTTCAGCGTCCTGATATTATTAATTTATTATTTATATAGCACCAGCAAATTCCGTAGCGCTGTACAACGGGGTATCAGCCATAAGTTTATTATTTTGTGTGACACTGAGCTATAAGAATGGACGTCTCTGGAGTGTTTTAAATGTTGTCTTCCATTAAAAACAAACAGACAAACAAAAAAAAATAAATGCATTTAAAAAGCACTCCGTACATCTTAAAGCCGCAGGGAAAAATATCATAAAGTCTCTCTCCAGGACCATTAATTGGAAAGCGGAAATCACATGAGTTTATGAACTGCTGTCAAGACACAAGATAAATCTCTGTGAACTGTGGTCTGTTGTTCATTTTATTTTTAACACATGGTGCAGGTGGAAAAGGGGGCTTAGCAATGAAGTTCTATTTACTTGACCCCCAAAGAGTAGGCTGTAAACCTGTTTGACCCCTGCTGTTTTATCTTGATCACAGTGAGCTTTGTAAACTGTGCTGCAGAGGTCTGCTTACTAAAATGACTAATGTGAGAACTGCAATCCAGATTATTTCCCTTCTGGCAAAAACATTAGTAAAATAAAAACATTTTCATTGTTGTGTATAGGCAAATATTATGGATGTGCTGAAAGTTAGATCTCAAATGGAGATCATTTCTTAAATATTATATAATTTAGCAAATGCCGTTGGGGGAAGGGGGGAGTAGAAAGCAAAAACGACCGGGCTTTACCAGGTGTACATGTGTGGCTAGTTTGCACATCCTTTACTGAAGAAGACATGCTTTGTAATACTGCATGGACCTCTTGCTCTGCCTCTTGTTCTGGGACTGAGAATGGGAATGTCCCAGGCAGAGAGGCACTACATGCCTTCACATGGGGATTTAATAGACCTGGATATTGAAAAAGCAGAGCTGAAAACTGCTTCTATTCACCAACACTTAAGGCCAAATAAAAAAAAAATCCTCCAACTTGTATACAATAACATTGGTCTTCCTTTTAGCCATTAACGCTTTACGACATATATTTGTGTAGTTGTCCTGGAATTTAATGGATCGCATCATGAGACTTGTAGTTCCAACACATCTAATTAAAAGTATATACAATTACATCTTGAAATTATACTAGTAGAAATGCTAGTGAATATACAGATTAAGAATTTTTTTTTTTTTTTTTAATAATCACCAATCCATATTTAGTGTACAAAGCTATGCAATTAAGTAATGGGAAAAGCAGGAGAACCCTTCTTACAGACGGTTCTCCTGCTCTCCATAATATTCTTCTGACAAACACATCACGTCTTTTCCTAGAGCATTGTAGGAATGGAGTTCATCGAAACCTAGAATGTGATGGCAGGTAAGAACCATTTGGCCCATCTAGTCTGCCTAATTTTCTAAATGCTTTCATTAGTCCCTGGCCTTATCTTATAGTTAGGATAGCCTTATGCCTATCCCACGCATGCTTAAACTCCTTTACTGTGTTAACCTCTACCACTTTAGCTGGAAGGCTATTCCATGCATCCACTACCCTCTCAACAAAGTAATACTTCCTGATATTATTTTTAAATCTTTGCCCCTCTAATTTAAGACTGTGTCCTCTTGTTGTGGTAGTTTTTCTTCTTTTAAATATAGTCTCCTCCATTTTTTTTTCTACATGAGGTTATAATACAGTCTAATGTACTGTCAATGAAGTGTTCCCAAGTCGTGCAGACTGGGCAGGACTGGATGTGTTTGGGGCCTTTGTTTTGCAGCAACCATAAAGCATTGCTGCTAATGTTGCATTGTAGTATTGGTTGGAGTGATTGAGGGTGCAATAATCTATCTGTATTATAACCTCATGTAGACAAGATAAAATGGTTTGCCTGCGCATAAAAGAAAAGCATCTTTGCCGAGTTTTCCTATAATTTTAATCAGAGTCCTTTTGTACATCATTCCTGGAATTATTATTCTGTAGTGCTTATTAGTATATTGGATTTTATTGTTCTGATGTTTATCGTCGATCTCTTCCATGTGCTCGCTGAGCATAAGTGTATTTAGTTGAGCAAATTAATTGCTTTCATATAACAAGCAAGTGCAGATACTCTCAAGACTAATAAAATTGAATGGACATCGTTAACAGAGCTGTTAAGCATTCAATTTCTTCTGGTTCCCAAAGAGGCTATCTCACATGTGCTTTATGTTTTATTGTCTCGGAATTTTAAAAGCAGGGACAGCCTTTGGCTGCTGTGGATTTTCACGGTTCCCTCTTTAATCTGTATTCCTGCTTTTGTTACTGCATTAAGCACTGTTGACTTTACTTTGTTTGTTTGAAGTCAGAGGAGAGGCTGTTTGTTTACATTGACATACAGAAAACAAAAGCTGAGAATATTGGCGAATGCCGGTTTGTGAACTTGTGGACGTCTGGCTTTCATGTTCAAGAGTAAAATGGCCTGATCTTTCTTTTTTTTGTTATTATTAGTGACTCTATATGTACACAAAATGTCTTATTCACTAAACTCAGCGTTATAGAGACTTCAAAAAAAAAAAAAACAACCCACAAATGGCAATGTATAGGCTAAAAAAAAAACCTAGTTGGAAAAATGTATCCAGCAATAGTTCCAGTTTGGCGATTTCAGATTTCAATTTGCTACAGTTCAGAGCTTCACATTTTAGGTTCTGGAAAGTCAGCTTTTTTCAGATTGGCAAATCTAGGACCTTTTATTTTCTTCACTTGGGGAGCCACTAAATCCCATTTCCTTTGCTAAAAGTGCATTTACACATATGTGTGTTCGTGTAATATTTATACACACACACACACTATTACTATTATTGTTATAATTATTATTTTTTTTAATTCTTTATTTTTCGCTCTGACAATCAAGCATTGTTACAATAGTGCAGACATAGGTAGATAAATGACTGTACAAGTTTTGTTTGCATGTAGTACAGAAGACAGAGTAGCATAGTTAGTACAGGCGTCAGTCACATACTGTGCACTTTGAGTGCGTTGCCGCCAGAGTTTTTCTCTGGTGTTGGCAAGCAGAAAAAAAAAAAAAAACTATGTACAGTGGTAGAATTGTTGAGGAGTGTGCTGTGTCATGAACTCTCAGGTTGGTTTTGATGAGTGTGTTGTGTTGTCGTGGCCCAGGCGGATGTGTGGGGTATTCTGATCTTGCCCAGGTAGGTCAGGCATTGTGCCCTCCCTGTCTGCTCTGTCCATGCTACCCCCTGTGTGCTGTCATTCCGCTATGCGCGTAATCAGGCAGAGTCTGATAGTGTTGGAGCTTTTCTCTCCTCCTGTTTGTTTACATGGTCTGGTGTGCTTGCAAGAGATAAAAACATACCAGGAAAGGATAGATAGATATAGACAAGTAGAGATTGCAGCGTATTGAAGTACGGAAATGAGGTGATCTCCTGGGGGCTGTGAACCCAGTGGCGCCCGTCCCAGTGGGCTGCGGCCTTTGTTCCGGCTTTAACCAGGTACCCGTTCTGCAGTGGAGCCGCTTCCACCTGTCCGGATTATGGTTTGATGGCGACCGATGGGGTGAAACGTACCGCATAGATGCCGCCCCACGCCCCGGGCCATGAGTCTATGTGTCGTATTGCTCCCATGGACCCCACACCTTGTGGAATGTGGTCAATGCGTTCCGCACTTGGGCCGTGAGTTTATCCATCAGATAATTATCGCGTAGTTTTGTCCTGACCAGAGATAACTGCGGGAGGTCCGGGCATGACCAGTGTTGTGCTACGGCCCTGCGGGCCGCTAGGTAGATCATGTTGAGGAGTTTTTATTCGTGTCTTGGGAGGCCTTCCGTGGGTCTAGATAAAAGGCACGCCCATGGGTCTAGTGTCATCCATTTTCGTAAGATTTGGGAGCTGAAGTTTACTATGCTGCGCCAGTAGGTCGCCACCTTTGGGCATTCCCACCACATGTGTATGTAGGTGCCTTTCCCCCCACATAAGTGCCAGCAGTCATCTGTAGGACGCCATTTCATGTGTTTTTGTTTCACTGGAGTCATGTACCAACGGAATAGTGTTTTATAAGATTGTTCTTGGAGTGTTACGCATATAGTGGTTTTGGTGCATGCCTCCCAAATGTCTTGCCACTCCGTTCCCTCCAGTACCTCCCCCAGGTCGGCTTCCCACTGGTCAGCGTATCGGAGTGCGCCCGTCGTGTTGAGGTGGTTGTATAGTAATGTAATTAGCTTGGATTGTGTAGTCTCCGTAAAGCATAATCTCTCGAAAAAGGTTAGTGGTGTCAGGGCTGCTTTTTTTACGTCAGGTCTCTGTGCAAAGTCTCGGATTTGCAGGTACCTGAAATAGTCTGTAGTTTGTAGTGTGGCTTTGGTGTTCAGGTGTGCGTATGTGACTATTTCCTGGTTTATGAATAGGTGGACGTATCTTTGGAGCCCTGTGGCTTCTAGCCCTATTCTGAAAGACCGGTGCCATGGGAGACAGGGGGGGGGCTCAGTGAGTGTTTCATTTTAGTTTGGTCCCATATCCTTATGGAGTTCAGTATGGCCGGATTTGTGGTTTCGGTGCCCATATGAAGAATTGTGGGAGGTCTTGTCCCGTCATTAGGGACTCCATGTCGACCCAGCGTCATGCGCCAGGGGGTGTGTGCCATTGTATGATCTGGGCTAGCTGTGCCGCTAGGTAATAACTATATACATTAGGTTTTGGTCGGTACATGAGGGTGCGTGCCATTCTCGGGCGTTTGTTGTACCAAATGAAGGAGTCGATTGCCCGCTGTATGCCTGCCAGGTCCCCCCGGGAAACTTGCACCGGGAGTTCCTGAAAGAGGAACAGGAGCCTCGGCAGCACATTCATTTTTATTGTGTTGACGCGTCCCAGCCAGGATATGGGCCTATGTGTCCACTGCTCCATTTCCGTAATCAGGGTCCAGAGCAGTGGTTTGTAATTGCGGGCATAGAGCGACGATATGGTTGCCATTAGGCGGACCCCTAGGTACAGGAATTCCTCTGTGGTTATTTTTAAGCGATATTGTTTGCGTATGTGCGCTACGTCTTGGGGCTGTATATGGAAGGGCATTGCTACTGACTTGGAGTAGTTGATTTTGTAGCCTGCGATGTTCCCAAATCTCTCTAGTATATAATTATTTTTATTGGTATTTATATAGCGCCAGCTAATTCCGCAGCACTTTACAGAATTCTATAATTAACTGTAAGGGCCATGTTTAATACTGTCATATATTTTATATGGGAGGTAGGGTGGTGCAAGTAGATTCTGCGCATCATTTGTTAACCACCCATCCTACATAGTTTTTCTGTATGGCTGAATTTGTAAAAACCTTTTTTAATGCATTTACTTGTAGCTCTACCCTTCATACAATTTACCATTGACAATTCAGCGGCTAACTCCACTTACAGATTGCGTTATATCATAATATACTATATTATATGTTTTTTTGTGTGTGTCTTACATAGTTTGATACATAGTATCCCCCTTCTCATTTTAGACATATAGCACTCACCTCCTTTGTGAATTCTTGACACGTAATCTAAAAGCGCTGAATTGTTCGGCTTTCTTTAAATATTGCTTACATGGCGATCTCCAAGGATATAATTATATTTTATTGACAGATTGAAGTAAAGGGGATGACAAATGGACAGTGTCAGGTCTCTGTCAACAAATTGCCATTAGATGCAAAGAATGTTGATGTTGGCAGTGGCGTCACTTGGCAACAAACTGCGCATCACCGTAATTCATTGTTTGTGTTTTGTCTTTCCCATTTTCCCATGCAATCAAGATCCGTAAGAAACGACATAGCAAAACCTAGACTGCAATCTGCATTAACCTTTTTAAACTTTTTTAGAATCATATTCAAAACAAGAGGAAGGGGACCAGACCTATAAGAAAACCTAAACCTTCCATTTCATATATTTTACATATACACTCCTACACTAAATGTATTAAGCTTACATCAGTGGTTGCCTCCTGATTAGGTATAAGGCAATTCCTGATTTCTTTTTAGCAACTATTTGTCTAATAGTTTTGTGATTGTTGCAGTTATTCTCTCTACTTGCGTAGACTAGGGTTGAGTTATACCCTGTTCTGCAGCTTCATATTCAACACCTTAACGATAATTGACAGTCCATGCCATGATAACAATCTGGAGTTTAAACATCCTATTTCAAAATTGAATATCTCACTTGCTTAAAGAATTCACACCTCTTTAGCTATTGCCTTGTAAATAAACAGTACACTCCCTACTGAGGTGGTCTTAGATGAACAGATTGATACTGGCATGGAACTTCATTGCTACTTAAAGATTTATCATGTACTTTGTATGGAATCAAATTATTTTACAGAGTACTGGTTCTGGTCTACGTGATTATATATCTATATATATTCAGCTCTCTGATATACAATGTCTGAGATGGTTCCTCTGCTTGTTTAGGTCTTTAAGATGTTATGGTGCAACGAGTTCTCTGGGCACTTTCTTATTTCAGTGGGTTAAACCAGTAACTGACAGTTTAACCCAAAAGTGATGAACCTAGAGCCCAATCACTCTGCCCATCAACATCTGCCGCAATCCGAGGCTTGAATCAGGAAGCCTCGGACAGGTGCTCCATCGATAGTATGAGAGGATATAGAGTATAGTGTATGTTGACAAACTGCTTAACCACTTGAGTTAAGCCAACACCTAGGTGATGAAGTTGATATGGTGCAGAGAGTGTTCCTTTACATTAACTGGGGTGGGTGAGTGGCAGAATGTATACATCAACCCCACTTTCTTAAAATAATTCTATTACAAATCAGGTTGATACAAATTATCTGGAGAATGTGGGTAGTAGGACAATGCTTTTAATGTCCATGAAGATTTTCCAAAAGATCTGGATTTACCTGTAGTGTGTCACGCTTACGCCCGGCATTATTATAGAGCAGTTGGGTAATAAAGGGTCAGGAAAGATGACCTCTTTCATTACATCAATAGTTGAACTACTGTAACAATGCCTTGGAGTATGGGCTTAAACTGGAAATGTAGTCCAGCTGGTCGTTCACATTCCTGGTTCAACAGACCAGACAACACACTCTTTTAAAGACAATATTTAAAGGTGAATCTTGAACAAAGCAACCATAGGGAGATTGTGCTTGGGCATTTGTTGCTCGAAGCAGCACAAATTAGACTGGATTAATGTTAATCTGTCAGTTGAATAATAACAAAGGAAGCAGAATGGAAGCTGATCTAATAGTAAGGTACTAATAGCAACCTCATTATTATCTTTTTTTTTTTTTTTTTTAAACTTAAAGCAGAAGATCAGTTGGATAAGCAGGAAATGTTAGTAGATAATCCTCCTTTAAGTGGCAGATCTAGCAATACTTTTCTCAGTTAAAAAAAATAAATAAAAGGGTTTCCTGAAAATAAATTGTCTGTGTCGGGAAAGCAATGACCATAAAATAAGGTACTTGAACATATTGTTGGAATCTTCCTGAATGTTTCACTATTTGACTCGGCCTGTGTTTCGATAACAGTTGGGTCGCGCGCGTTAGTAACGTCCCGTGCCTCCATTATGAAACTCAGTGGTTTGTCGCACTTCAATCTTGTATAAACCTCCATGTACTTTTCTAAAGCCGTTGTGTTCCCGAAATGATTGTGCATGACTACAGAATTGATGAGATGGCTGAGGTTCTATTGGCTGTATGTAACTGGTTTATGGTATAAATGAATGATGGACTGCGAGAATCTCCAGGGTAGTTTAAGTTTCCTCTGCTTGTTATTGATTCACCGTAGTAATCCTTAAACGCTCCCATAATTGTAGAATCAATCATCTTGAATATATGTGTTTTGTCATTTATTTATTTATTTTGGGTTAAACATTAGTGGAAATGGAATTTGGATGTTTATGAAGAATATTTTAAACAAGGAAATTGACTTGTTAGTTTAAATATTAGGAAAAAAAAAGTGTGGTCATATAAAAAGGGGAAAAAAAGCGTGGATGTAGTTTGTAATTATAAATGATATTGAACATACCATTCTTGTATCCACGCTGACAATATCTTGTAGTTTGTATCATTTTAAAACTACTTACCTAATCCCAGATGACAATTCTGCAATGACTTCAGGATCAACAGAAAGGAGGAAATCGAAGTTATGGGGTTTGAGAACTCTCCAGTTTCGACAGAGTCTCAGGATTTGTGGCTGAACTGCAAGATTTGTTCTTACTTCTCTAAGTCTGAATTTGTTTGAATGAGGTCAGGCAAAGCGCACTCACAGTTTCGACATGCACCCCTCTGACTAGAAAAGAGTTGATCAAATTTGGCAACTGTTCATGACAAGTGGCAAGTTGCCATGTGTGACTGGAAATTAAGTGCACTAGTTGTGGCCAAATGTCACAAATCTGGTAGCCACATTAGGAAATTGGTGTTTTTTTTACAGAGTGAGCGATACTTGAAACTCCCAGTGGGTGTGTTCCTTGCCAATGTTACCGTTGAAATTCCAACATGAAAACATGTAACTCACCATACAATAACACTATGTTTTGACAAGTCAAGGTTTACGCAAGTGGACTGGGAAGTTTCAATGTAGATATTATACACTGGTCAGCCACAACATTAAAACCACCTGCCTAATATAGTGTAGGTCACGCTTGTGCTGCCAAATCAGCCCTGATATGTCAAGGCATGGACTCCACAAGACCTCTATGAACATGTCCTGTTTATTCTGGCTCCAAAACTTTAGCAGCAGATCCTTTAAGCTGGAAGAATCTCTAGGTAGGTGGTGGGTTAAAATAACATTCACATGAATGCCAAGACCCAGCGGAATATTGCCCAGAGCATAACTCTGCCTCCGCCAACCTGACTTCTTTCCATAATGCATCCTGCTGCCATCTCTTCCCCGGGTAAATGACGCACATGTACCCAGCCACCTACCTGTCCAAAACCTGGTAAATCAGACCAGGCAACCTTCTTCCATTGCTTTATGGCCCAATTCTGACGCGCATGTCCCGATTGAAGGTGCTTTTGGCAGTGTAACTTCGCAGCCTCAAAAACTGTAATGCACTGTGTATTTGATACCTTTTTTATTATTATTATCATGGACAGCATTACATTTGTCAGCAATTTTAGCCACTGTAGCTCTTGTGTGTGTTTGGACAAGGTGGGCTAGCCTTCGCTCCTCACATACATCAATGAACCTTGGGCACCTGTGATCCTAATGCTTGTTAACCAGTTGTCCTTCCTTGCACCACATTTGGTAGGTGCTAACCACTGCATACCAGGAACACTCCCTTGCCATTTCGGAAATGCTCTGACTCAGTCATCTAGCTATCACTATTTGGCCTTAGTCAAAGCCACTTGGATCTTTTTGCTTGGCTATTTTTCCTGCTTTCAACTCATGAAATTCAAGAACTGACTGTCTAATATATCCAACCCCTTAACAGGTGCCATTGTAACAATATAACCTCTGCCATTGTAACCTAACCTCTGATTCCAACAGCCTGCCCTGACAGTCTTAAATCCTAATCCATTGACTCAATTCTAACCACAGTTACTAACCTTAGCTGGTAGCTCAAGGCTGAGCTCATTATTCTCTGTTTCAAAATGATGAAATCAATAATTTGTTTACCGACCTTGAGGAGATTCTACCTAGAACCTTTGTGATAATTAGGCAATTCTTGGACTCAACTTGTTACGTAGTTCATATCACAGAAAAATTGTATGGAGATGTGATATTTAAACTGCGTAATATATTAATTTATTTGTGGAATGAACAATGGTATATTTGTTATTCTCTGCTAGTTGCAAAATATTTTGTATTTTTTTTTTTTTTTTTTTTACTAATCTTAGGTTTTTTATAACTCCAGATCTCATTTTTTTTTCCATCTTTGTGGTGAAGGCTGAACTTGATGGACACGTGTCTCTTTTCAGCTATGTAACCATGTGGTGAAGGTACGCTCAAGGTTCTCCTTTGATACAATATCTTACTGAGAGTTAAAAGTAGCCCTGACATAGCTTGTTGCTGAGGAGACAAGGTGATACGGGACATATTTTTTGCAAAATTGCCTCAACAGTTTTATTTATTTATTTTTTAAAGAAAGATTTGGTAGAGTATTATGTGGGATAATGACAGCATTTATCTCTAAATGAGTTTTGTTATGTTAACCTACTGCATAACAACAATAATACTTTATTTGTTTGCATTGACCTTTCCTTGAACATTTTATCTGCACAGAAAAGATTCTGAAAACGTCGATTAACTCCATTAAATTTTTTTTTTTTTTTTTTTTTTTTTTAAACTCACTGACTCATTCAGTGGCAGTTTTAGAAAAGCTTTTTTCTATTTTGCTAATTTAATATCTCATTGGAAGTCGATGAGCCAGACATCATTTCTGCATGCAAATGATATAGTCAAATCTACGTTTTGAATTGCAATAGTCACTTGGAGCATTCGTGGCCGTGTCCTCTACTATCCGGAATTGCAGTGAAACACCCTTTCCTGTTTGGAAACACTTGCAAATTACTAACGCAAGCCTTAATGGAAATGCAATTATCATATTCGCTAGTTTTGCTTTACTTTAAAACAATTTCTTTCCGAAATACTAGTCAAGACAAAGATGGGGATGGACCGAATTGGCATCAAGAATAGACCAACTTTTTTGTTCTTAAGCTAATACAACCGAACCTTTTTTTTTAGCAGCAATCTTGATGTTCATGATATAGCACACATAACATATGTACCAACGATGGATAGGTATGTAAATAAAAATACGAAAACAAAAAATAAGTGCTCTCTATCTAATCAATAAAAGCTGGTATTCACCAACAAGGAGTTCCCTTAACAAATTGAGACAGATAAAAGTAGTTAGGTGAACAGCGCTAGACGTATAGGTTACATACGTCAGAAGATGGGGTTATAAGTCCGAGGTTGTATATCTTAAAAAAATAGAAAAAAAACCTGTAATAGTGCAATATGTAATAGTGGTGATGTGGATATATTTATAGTGCCAAAGGAACACTCACACATTATTGAGCTATATAAGCTCTATTTATGGCGCCTGGACAGAATAAGCTCTGTCTATGGATTTCTTTATGGATGTCAGTGCAATATTGCTTTCAAGTAAATGGAGGATATCATATGTAAAAGAAAAGCATACACCCAATGGTGTAGTATATAAGTACAAAGCAGGTGAAAAAAGGAAAAACCTACTTACATCAACTAGAGCAATGACCCGCTCTAGTGTATGGAGCTATAGGTGGAACAAACCCCACCTAGGGATGTACGTGGACCCGGAACAGCTGCAAAGTAGTCTTGACGTGAGCTACAAAAATGGTCCTCACTTTGTAAATAAAAAATGTGTGTGTATCAGGGCCAAGTAAATTGTAAGAAACACTGTTTTAAAGGTCAGGGGAAGTTCAAAGGCATTACTACTTTTGGAAAACAACTATTGCCTTGACCCTTGTGGTACAGTTTAATTTTAATCTGAATTAATTTATGGCCTCTTGGTGTTTCTTAATTGCTGTTTCGAAGCTTATTATTTATATGCCGTCTCTGCTGGAATGGCAGGAGAGAAAGAAAACAAAACAAATTAAAAAGTACACTGAAAATAACGAACAAAAAAAGAGAGTTTATGTTGATTGCTTTAAATGTTCTCCGTTAAATCTCTGCTTTGTTTTTTTTTTGTTTTTTTTACCCATCTCTGAGGGATAGCCTTATTTTGTTCATATATTCTTGATGAGATCTTTTCGTACTTTAAAGTCTACATGGAGCCTTGCAAACAAAATAAAATCTCGGTTTGCTAGCAGAAATTTCTATATCAAATGAGAAATAGGCTTGAAGTAGACTTTTCATTTAGACAAGAGTCTCGTAATATGTATGAGAATGCAATTTTACCTTATTGATAACATGTTAAGCAGTAGCAAAATACCTCCATCTCTACGATCTGTAGCAAGCCCATCTGGTTCCATCAACGGCTAGGGGACCATTCCAGCATTTTAACGATGTCAATGAGATTTCAGCCTTCTTGGACCCAGCTGTCAAGCTGTTGTTTAAAAACTTATGTAATAATTGAAACTCTGCTGGGGGAGAGATTAAGTCAATACCTTGCTTGTTATATTTCAGTCCATATATGCTTGTATTGGTCTCTTGATGGTGTGTTCTTATTAAATGTGATTGGAATGAAATAAGTTGATTTGTTAAACGGGCAAAGACGACAGTAAACATCTGTTTTCTGGATGTAAATTACACAAAGTTAATGCTATTTTTCTTTTCTTTTTCTTACAGAGCAGCACAAAAGCTCAACTTGTCGTCGAAGCGGAAGAAATATCATCCTCCACTTCCTCATTCTCGGGAATATTGCACATACTCCACCAACTTTAGTGGGATTATCCAGTTATGCCCGCCTCCTACGCCACCGTGTTTAATGAGAGCTGTATCAAAAATCAAGGACCACCCAGGAATTGGAAAGGTACTATTCAATTTGAGTTTGCCATTGCTTTCCCCATGCGTTCCCAGATAATGTGATTCTGTGCCAGTTCTGGTGTAATGGAGTCCAATGACGACATATAGGGGATAATGTTGTTTTAATTGGCGTGGAGAATTCTGGGTAATGTAGTTTAAGTGGCAGACACTATTACAGCTTGCTATGGCTTGTTCAATAAACACACATTTCACGCTTAAAAGGAGCTGTGAGCTAACCACATAGATCAGTGACTCTTAACCTTTTTATGTCAAGGAACATTAGCTGGGTGACACATTCTTTTACTGGGAAATTAACTCGACGACCCATTCATCAGCTGTAGCATAATTAATAGTAGTGGTAAGTTTTAAAAGCACCTGCATTACACCCTATCAATGGCATCATGATTGCATTGGGGAAGGCACTACTGCACCAGTAAGTGCCTTTAATACATCCAGCCTGATCTTGGTAGTAAAGACCCCTCTCCCCACCCCCAAAAGACATGGGGACCCTGTTCAATGGGTTCAACAACACTGACATTAATAAAACCTAGAACGCATGTAGAATTTGAGATCACAGTTCTTGGTGATATGCTCATAGTGAAAAATATATATATATATATATTTTTTTTTATTATAGTTCCAAAAATGTTAGAATTTAAAATATGCCAGGATGCATTGCCCCTAGCCAAATCATTAATCTCTGAGGTGTCGGCAGATGGCATAAACATTGTACACGGCCCATTAATACATTTCTCTAGGTAAATAATATACTAAACACACTCGTCTTCTCTCTACTTCACATACAAAAGATGATCCTACAAAACAATTCATATTTTATTCAGCGGAATGTATTGCATCTAAGGATGATCACAACCCTTGCAGAATCCACCCACCATTGATAAATGTAATTGTGCAAATTACCCACTCTGTGTTTTAATGTGTTAGAAACATCACACCGTTCTATCCACTTAGATAAACTCACCCTTTAAAAGCAATGAGCCAATACAACATGCTTCTCTTCACAGATTCTTTTTTCTCTTTTGATGTTATTACATTTAATGTTGGAACGGTGTAAATGATGTCTGAATGCAGGTTTTTTTCTCCTTTTTGTGATGGCTCTAGAAATAACTCGGATTATGCTCCATCTCTGACATTAATGTGCTACTTAAGGTAATTTATCATCCTGTGGCATTAAAAAGACATGCCTTTTCACTGGGAAGGCTGCGGAGCATCTTATATTTCCATTTCCTGACTACAATTTAGCAGGGCTGACGAGTTTTCATGTCAAACGTGTTCTTTTTCTTCTGTTTAAGAGGTCTCTAATCAACTTTGCATGAGGCACTTACAGGAGCAGTTTAGTGATGCTGTCATTTTGCCAAGAACTATGAAGGTTTCCTTATAAACCAATGAGAGAATAGAAATTGCTATAATAATAATATTATTATTATTATTATTATTATTATTATTATCATCAAAGTATTTAACTAGGAAAGGTACATTCAGATTACTCTGGTTTTCAAGTTCGTCCTGGGGATGTTATATAGAGGTATAAATATTTTAATGGGGTATGTGTATATGTTATAATGCTCTGACCCCCCTAATTGGTTATGGCTGGGTAGTAAGGGTGGATGGTCAGATGGTTTTGGTATTCCAGTTAGGATGTAATTGCTCCTTTTTGGTCCCATTTTATTTTGGCTTTCATACCATTTAACATGTGGTACATGTCTTAAAGTGGGCGTCTTCTTCACATAAGCGTGGCCATCGTCGAGTATATTTGCCCCAAGATGGCTTTGTCCTCCAAATAGTGCATTCTTTTATTTGAAGTATTTCAAAAGTATTGATTACGACCTCTTAATCAATGGCATATAGGCAGGGTCTAAACTATTAGTATCTTAACTATAAGTAGAAGTAACTATCGGCTGGTTTGAGCAATGGTAACATAACTATATATATATCCGACTATCTTTCTAGAATTGCAAAGCTGAGATCTTTTTTGTATGAATGTGACTACTACTACTAAAAAAATAAAATAAAAAAAATAAGTATAGAAATGTAATGTTTTCATTTGGCAGTTGCCATATGTAGATTAAATTATTCTCCACTGTATTACCGTATCAGTTTTCCACGAGTTACAATTTAATTTTGGGTGCTTTGTTGTCGTTTGCATGGGACATCTTTTTTTTTTTTTTTTTTTTTTAAACCCTTGGGCCTTCTAGACATTGACTCCGTGATCTTTAAACATTTACTTGAAGGTCAAAGGCAACATGAATACATTTTTGCACAGAAAAGTGATCCTTGCCTCAGACAGCTGCTACATAATAACACAGAGCCTGCATGGTGGAATAGTCAGATTGTGGCAAATTGGGTATTGGCTGAATAGCATTTAACAGGCAGGATACACAATCTCCAATCCCCAAAGCTCAATAGGAATTAAAACCCTATTCTATCTGTTACCAGATGTATATCCCTGTCGACATCAAAATTCTACTGCACTTGCTCCATAATCACTTAAAATGCAGTCCCTGTAAGATAGATGCAGTATTTAGCAAATAAAATGTGCCAGCTGCAGGTTATGGAAGCAAACAAACAACTTGTACAAAACATTCTCTATAAACCAATTTTGCAAGGTTTATGCATATCTGTCAGTTTCAATTAGACAGAAAGGAATATATTGGCATCGTGCATAGACAGCCCTAATTAGATTTACACTGCAGCAAAGAAACTGCAAGTTTCATTGGGGAAATGAATTGTATAATTACAGAAAAATACTTGAGCTCTAAAAATTGTTGCGATTATACATCTATCTCATGTAATCTATATGTGGGTTCAGGCGAGGAAAAATAAATACCAATTAAAAAGCTTTGAATTGCAGGATTAAATGAACATTCACTTTATTATATCTGTGTATATATATATATATATATATATATATATATATATATATATATAAAAAATATATATATATCCTGATGAAAGTTCTGTATTAAGAACTGAAACGTCGATTTTGTGTGGCAGCTGCTGAATAAAAGCTAAGTTTTTTTCACCATTTATTTTTGAAGTCCTTAGAGTGCTATTACCTACCATTTTATTTTTATGTTATTTGCTTTATTAGCACCAGGCATTAACCTATCTTTACAGGAGTGCAAGTACTTGAATATTTTATATATATATATATATATATATATAATATATATATTATAAAAAATGCAATAATCCCCTGCACTCACTCTCAAAAAGTGACAATACCGGGCGCATCACCAAGGCTCCAATAGATAGAAATACACCAAGGAAGGCTGCTCTCCGGGTTTAAAACAAAATTTGATACAATTTAAAAATAACAACCAACGTTTCGGTCCCTGCTTGGGACCTTCTTCAGGGTCAAAAATAAAACGGTGTCCTGTTGTATTTTTGACCCTGAAGAAGGTCTCGAGCGGGGACCGAAACGCTGGTCGTTATTTTTAAATTGTATCAATACATTTTTGTTTTAAACCCGAAGAGAAGCCTTCCTTGGTGTGTGTATCTCTCTCTCTCTCTCTCTCTTCCCCCCCCCACCCCCCCCCAAGGAAGGCTGCTCTTCAACAGGACACCGTTTTATTTTTGACCCTGAAGAAGGTCCCGAGCAGGGACCGAAACGGTTGTTATTTTTAATTGTATCAATAAATTTTTGTTTTAAACCCGGAGAGCAGCCTTCCTTGGTGTGTTAATATAGATATAATCTCTTTACACTACAATGTTGCCTCAGTTTTTGAGAGAAAATAGTGTTTTATGAGATTTTCTTGCTTGGCTGCAGTCGAATGATTGCCAGAGATGATGAGGATTATTATTATTATTGGCATTTATATCGCCAACGAATACCGTAGCGTTTTACAATATTATAGGAGGGGGAGATTTAACAATAAATTAGATAATTACAAAAACTTACAGGAACAATAGTAAGAAGAGCACCCTGCTCAAACAAGCTTACAGTCTAGCAGTATCGGCTTACACAATTTCGGGTCACTTGGGTTAGGTTTTAACTGAGCCCACATTACACATCAACACACTGTAAGACAGACAACATACCTCCCAAGATTCCAAATGGACAAAGAGGGACACTTTAATTTTAGGGGTGTGGCCAGAGGCGGGACTGTACTGCGAAATTTAAGATGACTTACTAATAATTTATGTAACTAGAATGTGGTTTAGAACAAGAACAATGTATATTTTGTACACAGACTGATTTCTAAACACATTTTTTGTAGTTTATAGACACATTGCTGGGAGTATTATTGCTGTGGAGCTCTGTTATACACTCCAACACACCAACAATATGGAGATACTAGAAAAGAGGGACATTCTGAGTGAAAGGGGGGCAGAGGGATTTGGGCCCAAAATAAGGACACTTGGGAAGTATGCAAACACCTCTTTTCCCTGGTGGGAAATGTTACCGTATACATGATTTTAAACAATTGATGTTTAATATTTAATCTCTGTATAACTACACTCAGTGAAATTGTAAAAATTGAAACCGGGGCAGAATATAAAGAAGATATGATGCTCTAGACTAGCACAAAAGACAATTTTTCTCTCTCCCTTGAAAGCTCTCGTTATTTTAATGTAGGTGACTTTAGAGCATTCCATTTTCCTTTTCTAAGGTGCATTATGTGGTGGGTTTTGGCATTTGTGAGATGCATCGGAGGTCTAAAAAGCGGACGTTACAGATACGAACGCAATCCTCTTCGTCCTGCATTTGTTTTTTGTCGGGAGGATGGGTAGACACACTGCTGATAAGAATGATGACTAAGGTTGAGATCAATAGAGATTTCTTTCTATTCTACGCCTGGCTGAAATAACCTAATAATAGGTGTAAGAGGGATGAAAGCAGAGCAGATAGGTGCATTTATCCAGAGTCAGTTAGCGTTATTTAGCCTTGAGTGCTGCAATTATACACAAAATATATTCAAAGAATAGACTCTCACGAATACTTGTGTTGGATTGAATGATCTACGAGCTACAGCTGTAGCATTGAAAACCAAAAATCCAGCTGTCGGGAGAATAAAAATTTTTTCAGGAAGAGAATGTTGAGAAATGTAACTCCACATCTGATGGTTGGACACCCCTACCATATTGGGTTTATTGCATGTAATTACAAGATTGAATCAAACATTGAAAATCTTCTAGAATAACTTTTAATAAGTTTTTTTCTTTATGTGATGCTCCATGTTCTTTTAAATATATTTAATAATTGGCAACTACCATCACAATCCAGCTACGTTCTGGCACATCCAAGGCACACAATGCTTTGGAGGAGGAGACATTGAAACATTGTAACATTGTTTCGACTTCCTCTCCCCTCTATGCTGACTGTCAGGTACAAAAGGCGGAGCTTGTAATGATGATTGGCAAGGAACCAAGATAATAATTCCAGGATAGAGAGGGATGGATGACAAGATTTAATTTTGTTTTTTTCAGACCTCACAAACACACATTTATTCTGTAGATGGCAGATAAACTGAATATTAAAAATCCTGGGAAGTAAGCTTCACTTTTCAAGGATGAATTTTTTATTTATTTTTTGCATGACCCTTTTGGCAAACCTAGATTCACCAACTATCATGGAACATAATCCCAAGCACTGTTGATGTAGCCTTGTTACAGTATGGACTAGTACAAATGAAACCATAGCGGATGGTTTCGTGGTTGCTGAATATCACTGGAATAATTGGGGTTTGTGTAGATCAGGATTAGAAATCCTCAGACCCAGGAGGAGTTTTGGAATATAGTTTTCTCTAACTGGCAACGCTGGTCCAAGAAAGGTTGGTGTTTCTCTAGGGTAGATCCACAAAAATAAAATCAGAGTAAGAAAAGACCACGTGAGAAATTATACACAACTTGTGTTTTTAGAACCTGTTCCTTTATCCAAAGAGGAAACTAAGCAATACAGTTCTATCCATCTTTTCAGTTCTCGGGAATTGTATATACTGTTATGGTTAAGAATTTGATGTGGAGGCATTAGGGCTGGTGGGTTGTGAAAGAATATATAGAACTTAAAAGGCCTTTAAGTATCTCTGTTACAGAAGAAGGCAGTGGTTTGTTATGTAGAGTGAAGTCCATTTATCTTAACGCCAATACGTTTGTATTTTTCTCTCTCTCTGCTTTGTAGGTGTAACATATATAATTTATAGAGAGCCAGAGCGAATACGTATCATTAAAACTAATAAAAAAACAACAATAAAAAAAAACAAAAAACCACGAGTTACACTGCCAACAAAATGACAAAAAAAAAGCATTTTAATTTGGAATATAATATTTGAATTAATTTTGCATATGTTACTCCGTAATCTATCAAGGGTAAAGTCGGGGGAAAAAAAGCACTTCGAGAGGAGCAGAAGGAATGCCAGACGAGACTCATGCAGCTTTTATAGACATTCAGCCTTGAATCTGTCACCAACAATGCACATTTACTCTTGAAACAGCTATTTCATTTATTTTAAGGTTCACTTAGTTTCCAGAACTGTCTTTTCACATTCATATCACTACCACGTAGGAGAGAACGCATCAAGCTCTATTAGGCAGCTTTGCTGGGCTAGCACATAGCAAGGCGGTAATGTGGTTTCTTGTGAAAGCTTTTTCGAATGTACAGGCTCGATCTGTGGGTAGAAATGTCGCAAACCTAACAACAACCTTATTAAATGTGAAGGTAAGTAGAAAAAAAGTCTATTCCATTACGCTCCTTGCTAAGAAAATAAGGTTTGGTATTTTATTTTATTTATTTTTTCCATGTAGCAATATTTCTTTTCGTAGGAGGATCAGAAGGCGCATGGCGCTGTGACTTGGATCTGTGAAAAATCTTTGCTTTAGTTATTTATGCTGTGGGTATATACAGTAAAAAGTTATTTCACAAAGCTTTAAAAATAGATCTATATATTTCTTTTGTTACTAAAATGATGACTGAGCTACAGACAAAATTTTAATAAATAGGGTCTTTTAACTATGAAAATCACACCAATTACAAAGTAGTGCACCAATTATCTATTGGTGTCCCAGGTGATTACTCTTCATGCCCGATACCCAAAAGAGCTGACTTGGCCTAATAACAAAAGCATACAATATAGGGAATAGTAACACTGCTGTAGGTTAATTTTTACATGTAATTATAATTTTTTTTAATTATTCAATGGTTACTTCAAGCTCCATGACTTCAATGATTTGAAGTGGTCATGGTGCATGGAGTCTCTAAGTGCAGCATTTTGATACTAAACAATGCAGATCTATGGAGTTTGCTGCAACTCCACCTCCGGTAACATCAATTGGTTATTAGCCAGCCAACAACAAGAGTGTCTAACGTCAATCTTGTGCGTATTTCTATGCTCAGTCATTCATTGGTTGAGAACAATAAACTGATGCTCTCAGCCAACGGATAAACGTCCGGTTTGGCACCCGGTTTCTGCAGCACTCCGGATGTCGTTAAACACCGGAACTTGAAACCTGATGCCCAGCAAGACCCAAGGTAAGAGAGGCAAACTATTGCAAAATGCTTTGTTCCATTATCGGACAATGGTGTGCGGGTGCTCTTGCAATCATTACAACTACAGCAGTCTGGAATTGTTATGATGGTTGGAATAAACCTTAGTCTTTAAATGTCACGTGAATCCAATGCTGATGTATCTGCTAAGGTTATGTACATCTTCATGGCAAAACGAGACTGATGCCAAGATCCAACTTTAATAGGTGTACTGGCAGTGTTATTTGCAAAGTGGGTTTGTCCATTGCCATGAAAACAATGTTACCACTGGTTTCATATTGACTTAACGCATCAAAGCAGAAGTGAGGTTGGAGAATGCAGATAATCCATAACTAATGTTGTTCTCAAACTGTGGAGGGCTTGATGTAAAACCTTTATTTCCATTTAAATTAATGTTTTCATCTCCTGAAAAATCCAAACCTAGGGATATATTGATTTACAGATAATTGATTAGGGAAATCCATATTTATTTTTGACAACGTAATAAAAGTGGATAAGTGCCAATCCTAATTTTTGACTCAAATCCTAATGTCCCTCTTCTCTAGGAGCTCCGCAGCAAAATACTCCCAGTAATGTGTCTGAGTGTATAATAGAGCTCCGCAGCAATAATACTCCCAGTAATGTGTCAGAGTGTATAACAGAGCTCCACAGCAATAATACTCCCAGTAATGTGTCTTTACACTACAATAAATGTGTTTAGAAATCAGTCTGTGAAAGTAAGATACAATGTTTATGTTCTAAATTACATTTTAGTTGTATAAACTCACACGCCTAAAATTAATGTGCCCCCCTTTGTCTATTTGAAATTTTGGGAGGTGTGCAAAAGTGATTACGCCAATCCACTGCTTTTCTGTGACAGGTATTTGATGTTCCCTATGGCATCCTGCTGCTCTGGGGACTCGGAACGTGAAAAACTGATAAAATCAGGTCTTCAGTGAAGAAAAACCTCTTGTGGCTGTCAGTCGGACTGCCATTAGAGGTGTGCTTTGGGCAAAACGTAAACATTGCCAGATAGAAGTAATGGGGTCTGTGCACTAAAACCACTTTTTTAAGATGAAGTGGTTTTGGTGTTAAATGTCCCTTAAATGAAGTACACCAAATCAGTGATAAGTTGTAAGGCCTCAACAGTCGGTTGCATGGATTTTATCAAGTGGGTGGCAGCGTTTATATTTAACACTGCAAAAAGGGGGATCTGTCTACATAACAGGAAACCGTTTCCTTATTATTTCCATGCAGTTAGCTCAGTAGCTCACACACACAACTCTTGCAAGCCCATTCTTCTTTCTCTACTTCATAGCCGGCGTTCGGACACTGGTTAACCCATAATGCATTGATTTATGTGCAAGTGCAGCCATTATTTTATGCAAGAACAAATTTTCAGTGTGTAAAGCAGAAATTTAGCTTTAGTTTGTGTGCTAGCAAACTCTGTCACCTTAACAGACAACTTTCCAAAGCCTTCAACTGCGAAAGCTTCCTCGGATTTGTAGTTGGGGAGCTGTCTGAGTACTCTGTGTGCCTTCTACCAATGGGAGTTAGAGGCGCACTTCATTTCTCACTCAACTATTTTGAGAAATCCTTTATCTATTACACCGCTTCTTTGACAGTTAACGCAACGAACTCATAAATAATAAAAAAAATTTAATCAGATTTGCTTATAATGATTATTCTAATTATACAGAATTGCCTACTATATTCCGATTTAGTTCCATGATTTTTTTTTATTTGGGCTATTGTTGTGTCTGAGTGAAATCTTTCAATTTTAGAATGGTAAAGGAGAAAAATGTGTCTTGTAGTATCATTCAGCTAGTACAATCAAAGCATGAATAGGACCTTTCAAACACGCCCAGGAAATGAATATCCTATCTTACCCCCAGGGACAAGTTGTAATTAAAGGAGTCCTTCCATTTAGAGTATCTGGAAACAGCAGGGCAGCAGGTCACGGTCTAATCACTGTATGTTCAAAAAGGTAACTCCCTCTCTCATCTTCGGGCATTTCAAGAGCGGACTAACTAGGAAATATTTGTCTGTGCTGTTTAAACTATTAAACGTGGCTGCAGGCAAGAGGTTAACGATGTAACAATATTTACATTTGTGTCTTCACTCTATACATTTATTGAGGATGACACACAGACACAAGTGTTTCGGGATGGAAGTTTGTATTTTCTAATCTTGCTGTTTTGAAAAGATCAAAATCAAACAAAAAAACAAAACAATAAAGAACCACTAAAGTAACTTGGAAATGTCATCTCAACGCAATGACCTTGTCCTTTAAACCCATTAAGGTCAAACACTTATCTAGACGCTGTCATACGGGATGTTGCCGCACGTAGGAAAGCATTGGATTTACTGTTTAATGAGTATAGTTGGATGCATGCGCAGCACTCACTGAGCAAGTGCGTCAGGTCCCCAAATCTCCTTTATTGGGAGCATTGGATTGGACCATCACCAGAGTTATCAACACCTCTTCTGACATAATTTGAGGTGGAGAGGTCAGCAGCAACAAGGGAGTCTCCACACTGAAAATAAAGTTAAAGGGACACTATAGTCACCTAGACAACTTCATCTCATTGAAGTGGTCTGGGTGCACTTTTCTTGTCCTCCTTAGTTTTGCACCGTAAACCATTGTAGTTTTAGAGAAATTGCAGCAATTATCTTGCAGGACTAATACTTCCACAAGTGACTGTCGATTAGACATCCACTAGAGGTACTTCCTGGATTCTAGCGGACCCTGATTCCCTTAAACGACACTGGAGGATGTCACGCTTTGCATGAAGACATCCAGTTTTCATGAAATCCCCATAGCGGAGGGCCTAATGCACTCGCCATTGAAATACTTTTTTTGTAATTGTTTTGGCAAATGGGAATGCTGAATGTATCTATGGAGAGGGATATTGTAGCGTTGGGAGTACAGATTTGTATTCCTACCACTAAAGTGTTTAAATGTTGGGGTTTACAACAAAGGCATAGCAGTCAGGATTATTCATATATGGAGGGTACCCTGAACCTCGAAACACATTCAAATCCAACCATAGGCTTAAACGTGTTCTACCTGTTGCATATTTTCAATTAGATGCAATCTTAATATTATGTATGAATGGATAATATCAGTTATATAAGCTTGGGCTGTAATATGGCTATTTGGAATGTTGTTGTCCATCTTTTTGTGCCAAAAAGTTTGCTGTTTCGATCTATCTAATGTGATGTAGAGAGTTGTGCACAATTTATGGCTACATCTGCATTTTAAAATTTTAACTTTTGCATCAAGAAAATTATACATAATTGTTCTGAACAAGCGGAGAGATTGGAAAAATTGTTTTCATTCCACTTAGCAATACAGCTGTAAAAAGATTGCATTGTATTTTTTTCCATTATTGATCCAGTTGCTTGAAAATATGGTGTTATGCAAATATAGGTTGGATTTCATAGACCTACAAAACCCGATGACAGAAACAGAATTCTCTAAAACATCTGTCTTTTCTGCAATATGTTCTATAGAACGTCATTGCTTCTGTGTGAATAGGCCATTTATCCTTGCTTGGAGAGGAAAGGCATTCATATATGGCTCTATCCTGGAACTTGGTGTCTCTGTATAGGCTCTGTTATTGATTGTTATAAGTTCTGCCCTTTGCAGTGGTCCGTGAGCATCATAGGGGTGGGAATTGGGGCTTTAGGGACTGATGATCAGGATGTGCGACTCTTCAGCCCTGATGTAAATTTGATGGAGGGGGCAGGAGGGTACGTTAGGATTTTTTTGAAAGTATCTGCCTGTTATAAATATAAACATCAGTGGTATAGTGTCTCCCCAGCACCAATCCCTCCATGGGAGGGGATGTTAGTGAACAGAAGTTTGCTGCACACCCCTCTGTTAGTATCACATTGAATACCTGGCTGTGCAGCATGTTTATATTCAACTTTGGTTTCATTACGATCCTGGAGACCATCGCTGTTTATGGGTAATGAGGACAGGACAAAACCTTAACTGATGAGGAAAGGTCATGACATATTCACACCTCTCTGTTAGTGTAGGGGTCATTGAGTTTGTTTTTGGGCTCAAGTCCCGGGTGAGCATACAGAAAAGCGGAGAACCAGAATTTGTTTTTTATTTTTCTCTTCCAATGCCGTATGTGCGGTGGTTATGTCAGGATTGGCCAGATTGTGATATCACTCGTTCATATACATTAAGAGAATACAGGTGACTTTTAAAATGTTTTATTTAGCGGTCTTATTTACAGAAATGTAATATTTCAACAATAAATCAATTAAATTTGTCTGAGACAGAAGCTCTGTACAATTGTAATGTTTTGTGTCCTGCTTCATATCGAAATCATGAAATGCATATATACCTTTTTTGTATTTGTTTTGAATGATGGGTTAGGTCCAGGGATCCAGAACCTACCTCTTCCAGAAATTCCTAGAATTGATTGAGGTAGACACAATTACTTACACTGCAGTCGGCAGACTTTAACCAGGACGGGAGTAAAACAGTGCTCATTGGTTTACTTTTCAATAATTTTATATCACAAACTATAAATGTCAGCACTTATGTGCGGCATGTTTTGAAAGTAACTGTAGCGGAGTAGTAGTATTATCTACGGTATCTCCGCTGGTAGACAGAGTGAAGCAGGTAAAATGTAGGCAAAATGCAGGTAGCGTAGTTACAATCCCTTTCTCCCAAGAACTAGACGACACATAGCTTGGAGGTCAACTGAGAGCTTTAATGAAACAATCCCCAATTTATGTGATTTTACTGTACAGGGTTTCCAGCAGTGATTTTAATCAGGTGGACTGTGTGGGGAAACTGACCATGCAAGGTTGTTTCCCAGCAGCCCCTGCTGTACAGGTACCAAGGTGACATCAGCAAGTACAGATAATTAAATTACCAGTGGATACAGTAACATGCAATATTTTACATTAAAATCTATAATTCTCACAATTTCCCACCGATTTGTGTGAATGACCTCTCAACCGAATGTAGGGATCGGCAGGTACAATATACCGAAGTACCATTCTGATCCCTGCAGAATTAACCGAACGCCGCTCATAGTATACATTTACACGAACTGGGGTTTAGAGGAGAAAACTCACGACTATCTTTATTTCCCCAAAGGAGCAAGTTTCCCGAACGCTATGGAAGTCCAGCGCTGTTTGGAAATCAAGTGGCCGATTTCGGTTCCAGGCACTCGACGACCAAACACCACTGAACTCTAACAAAGCAAAGATGGCCACCGCCACGTGTTCGGTACACGAACGGCGGCCACACACAGAAAGCCCATTAACGGCTGGACACAATGTTGCAACCTCACTAATGAGCAGCACACATCCTTCTGGAATGGTCTCCCGTTCGTTCCTTAGTTCGTTTTTTACGAACAGTGTAGGAATCCACTGTTCGTGAAACTGGCAATGTAATGCTAGCAGCATTCGAGTGCTGTAGCACATGAATGCAGGAGATAAACCAGATGAACGCTTTTATATACAGATCTCTTAACAGTGATGGGTTTTTCCCCACAGATAAACATAGCAATGGTAGTGATATTCAGATATATATAAAGACATTCTGAGTGATAGTCAGGTATATATAAAGACATTCAGTAAGTGGCTAAGTTTGCCACAGTAACCTGGTGGTTCTTCTCTTCTCTGTATGCCAGGTGCAAAGGACAGAGTTTATTACTATGATTGACAGGGAGCTAAGATGGAGGTGCCTGTTTTTAAATAGTTTTTTTTTCCCCCGCAATCTACACATATGCTAGAAAAGCTGCTAACATAATGTGTAGATGGTATCTGAAGCTCTTTCAAAAGAGCTTAAGTCATTATGGACATAGCAGATCCCATTAAAATTTCTAGTCCTGTACTACTAGCCAGGCCTTAAAAGTTACTAGTCACCGCAAGCATGCCCTCTAGGGGTGAATTTCTACTTACCAATGCTAAATTGTCTCTCGCCAATAGCTAGTGATGAATGGAAATTTTGAGGCCTGGCCATGTCCTTGGCTAGACCGAATTTGTAGACTTGTCAACTAGATCTCCGATGGTGCAGTACTCCGTAAATATTAACTGATTTTTAATACAAATTTTCAGTCTGGGAAAAACCCCCACTTAGTCTGCTAGTCTGGTCTTTTCTGGATAGGATAACTCCTCCTCTGATGTTTAAATTGCAATGTGATTTGAGACTGTACACCCTGTTCCAAATTATTATGCAAATTATATTTTTCTCATTTACCTAAATAATTGATGTAGATATTCAGCATAATTCTCATGTTATCAACTATTAAGAGTACAATTCAAATTTTATTGAACAAACCTCCTAATGATAACAGTATTTTTTTTTAAACAAACTTACAATGCACTGTTCCAAATTATTACGCACAGTAAGTTGTAAAACACTTTATAGGTTGTAAAGAACTGAAAATGGTCATTTGTTGTGTTTGCAGCATATTTACTGAAATCAAAAGCTATTTCAATCAAACTTATAACAACATTTTAACTTTTTAAACATTTTAACAGGTCACGTTACATTTTAACATAGGACCCCTTACTTGATAGCAGCTTCACAAGTCTTGCATCCGTTGAACTTGAGAGTTTTTGGACAATTTCTGCTTGAATTTGTTTGCAAGATGTCAGAATAGCCTCCAAGAGTGGGTAAACGTTCAAAATCAGCAGGGGATCAAATACTTTTTTCCCCTCACTGTATGTGTGAAATTCCAAAAATATAATCAATAACTGCACCCAGTCATAGGACCTACACGATTTATAGGAATGTATTGGTATTACCTAGTTTTTAAATTAAAATAATATATTAATATAATAACTTAATGTATGAAAGTCTTGTCGTCCATGAACTTGTTGCTCTACTTTAGCAGTTTGAGGGGGAAAAAATATATATAATAAGAGAAATCGATTTTCACGTAATATTAAATTCTCTTTAAACTATTTTAGCTCCCATCACGGTTAACGGAATTGTTTTTTCAATTATTCATTCTTTTTTTTTTTTTTTGCCATTGGTAAACAAAGCGTTAAAAAGCTTGCTTTTTGTCTACTCTGTACAGTCTTTTTTTCAAACCCTGTGGCAATAGTGAGGTTAAAAGAAAGTGCAATTAAAATGCACATAACAAATGGATTCACACTTGCGTAATAACCATTATAGATAATTACTGCTTATTATTTCCTTGCCTTGTTTTGTATCTGACACTCTCTCTCCCCCCCCATGCTTTTTTTTCTGTTGCCAAAGGTTATGCTCCAGGCAAAAGAGATAGCGGATACCACAAGAGAACTTATTATTCAACTAGCCAATCATGTTCCGGCTATATAACGGTGACGGCTGGGTGGAATGGGCTCAGTCTTTTAGAATGGAAAATAGCATTTTCATATTTAATGAAGGAATAATGATGAAAAGCACTATCTTTTGTTCTCTGATCCCCAGCTATAACCACTTCTAGTCTGTATGTCTATATATATATATGTGTGTGTGTGTGTGTGTATATATATATATATATATATATATATATATATATATATATATATATATATATATATATATATCTCTATCTATATATGTCTTGTGTTTTTTTATTTTTTATTTAGGTTAAATATTTGAATGTTATAGAGGTGGGGGGAAAATAAATAAATAAATAAAATGGCTAATTTAGATGGGAGCTCTAGAAAACATTATTCCGGAGTATTATGTAAATCAGATAGTGGGGAAATATCCGTTCTGACTGCTGCCATTCCAGGTGATCTGCTAATATATACCCAAGAGGTTGTGGACATTCTGGCTGTTGACCGGATGCAACAGGGAGGCAGTCTGCATGTTAAATCGCTAATTCTCCAGTGTATTTATGCCCAAATCTATTTTTATTTATTTTTTTAGCACACTTAGTACAGCATTTTTGTAGTTACCTCTTAAGACATATTATATTTCGCACAATATAAGACAATGGTGTAACATTCTCAAAGAAAATGAGATTTATTGAAATTGTTAAACAATGATTACTCCTAAGAATGATAGTGTCTAAGGAAATAAGAGCCATGTTTGTATGGACAGTGTACATATAAGGACAATGATACACAGTTGACCTCTGAACTGAAATACAGTAGCGATTAATAAAATATATACCTAGAATACATTTGTGTATATAGAACATTTTATTAATCACTTATGTGTTTCTGTTTAGAGGCCAACTGCGTTTCATTGTCCTTGAATGTACACTGTACAGTGATAATAAGGTTGAATCTGTATGTTTTCTCAAAAAGCTTGACAATACAAGATATTTTGTGGACAAAGTGGTGGGTGAGTGGCTGGAATTGACTTGTGAGAATGGTCAAGTTGTAGATCATTATTATATCTATTTAAAGAAACTTTTCCTTTAAAACCATTTTGGCCTTATATGTACAAATATTTCTTCTTTCTATTCCTTTTTTCTTCTTACTAACTTTTAATTTGTGAGCATTACAAATGCTACTGACAACTCTTTCATTGGCTAGAGCAGGGGTTTACAACCCAGTCCTCAAGTACCCCCTAACAGTCCAGGATTTAGGGATTACCCTGTTGTCTAAAGCTTTTATTTTTTTTATTTTTTTCCCCTTTCTAAAAACACCTTAGACCAGGCATAGGCAACCTTAGGTCCTCCAGATGTTTTGGACTACGCCTCCCGTGATGCTTTGCCAGCATTATGGGTGGAAGAGCATTATGAGGGATGTAGTCCACAACATCTGGAGTGCCTAAGGTTGCCTATCCCTTCCTTAGACATAACTGGATAATCCATAAATCCTGGACTGTTAGTGGGTACTTGAGGACTGGGTTGGGAACCACTGGGCTAGAGAATCAATGGTTATTATGATTACTCAACAGTGTTAACGTACAGTCGCTTATCCTCATATCCTCCATTTGGATAATCTTGTGCATGATGATACAATTATGGGTTTATTTATTTATACGCATTGAAACAAGGATATAACTGTCCTATGATGAAGCTTATATTTCTATGGTTTCTATTTTTTTTTTCTGGTACTTTATACTTTGTGTAACACTTTACTTTAAATATTTATTGAATGTAAAATGGCCTTCGTAATACGTCTTATGTTTACCTCTGATAATTTCCTGGAACAGAAATGTTGAGAAAGTACAAAGGTATGAAATATGATATTGCTTCTTATAGAATAATTGTAGATAATATCAAAGTACAGAGGTTGGGGCGCGCTAAACGTGAATGTTATCAATGTTAAATGAGTACATTGTGAGAAAATCTGCTAACTATAGATTGAAACGTTTCTCATTTGTAATTTCAGGTAAAAATTATGGTGAGAATCTGCCCGTCTCAAAATACATCGGAATCTATGTCTTTACTAAAAGTTGACACACGGAAAAAACAAATTTCTCTTTATGATCCATCTTCGTCTGGTCCTTCCGTCTTAAGTCACAGAAAAGCCTTGGTTGCTGTCCCAAAGATGTTTGCATTTGATTCGGTGTTTCCTCAGGACTCTTCACAGGTAGAGCACTACCCAAGCATGCTTTTCCTACTTTTCCTAGTTAGACCTTATTGAGAACCAAAGTACAATTCGTTAAAAAGTAAAACCTCATTTACTGACCTTATGTTTAAAGTAAAAACCACCACATTTGGTAAAAACAGTCAATCCACTTGATTGTTTATTTTTTTTTTTTTTTTTTATTTCAGTTCTGGAATCTTCACAATTTAGTAAAGGGGACAATCTAACAAAATAAATCAAATGATGACTTTAACAAACCTCTTACATGGTAGCAAGCCTGAAACCGCAGGTTAGAAGAAAAGGACAGATACACCTGAGATCTTTCATTGTTAAAGGGACACTGTAGGCAGCTAACTGAAGTGGTCTGGGTGTTGTGTCCATTTTGTAAAACATTGCAGTTCCAGAGAATGTTTACATTGCAGCTCTAAGTCTGCCCTCAGTGGCGGTCTACCAGACATTCACTGGAGGTCTTCCAGAATCCAAACAGACCTTTGGTCCGTTATCTGACGCTGGACGTCCTCACGGATCTCCGGCGTCAGATTTTCTCCATAGGAAAGTATTGAATAATGCTTTCCTATGGGGAGGTTTAATGTGCGCGTGACCAATGATGCAAATTAGGTCGCCCCCACTGGTTGACGTTGGAGCGTGGGAGGAGCCTGACCCAGTGCCGAGGGACATCGCTGCTGGATTTAAGTAAGTGGCTAAAGGGCTTTTAACCACTTCAGCCCTGCGGGAGGGGGGACCTATTAATTTATAGGATCCCTTTAACATCTGGAAAATGCATACACCCCCTAGAAAGGAACATAAAAGAATTACACAATGGCACAAATTGTAAATGAAAAAAGTATGTACATACAACAGAATTAGACATATTTCTTTAAAAGCAACATAGTACAAGAAGAAATTTCACAATGTTCTAAAATAAACTGTTGTGTTATCACTTTATTACTCTTTTCCTACCTTTATCCACCACGATCTGACCAAAGATCTTAGAGTTTGAGACTCCAATTAAGAAAATCAGATAAACCTATAACACTATTTGTGAGCGGTTACATTTTGAGTTGCCGTCAAGTCCAAAATCCTTCCTTACTGCACTTTTTGTATCGCTGGCTCTTTGTCCTCATATCTTCTATGTCCTTTTCGCAGTTGAATTCAGTTTGTGAAATAGAGCAAGAGTGCAGGAATGGTTAATGTTATTGTATTTTGTTTTTCATCATCACGTGGTTATTTTTATGTTCATGAGGAATCGCCTGGCATTTTCCAGATGCCAAAGATAAACACGTCTGGTGGATCGATCTCATTAGACCCACAGACAAAAAGCTTGGAGGGGGGGGTATACGGTTATTATGTGCCTTGAAAATCTGAGACAAATTACAGCCGCACTTCCTGCCGTTGTCGTATTGTCCTGCTTGTGTATGGCGCATAGAGGTCCGTAAATTCTAAAAGGTGCATTCCATCCCATTACACTAATTAAGCGACATACAGCACATTGCTGCTTTAGAAAGCAAGAATGCGGTTAGACTGATTTCTGGAGCAGTGGTTTGGTAATAACAAATGCCATGACAAGATTCCAAGGATAGAACAGTCAAGAGACATGATTAATGTAATACTAGCTGTCAGTAATTTGAAAAGACAATTTCTCACTGGTTAAAATATCTCTGATACATATAAGTGACCGTTGACAAAATATTTTATGACATTAGCTTTATGGAACTATCTACTTAATGTGAGGTCTGCTACATTTACGTTATGTCATGCAAAGCATTTAATGCAATGTTTCCTTAGCACAAGGATCCCATTTAAATGAGATTATTGTAATACAGTAAGTGTCATTTTAAGTTTGCCACCAGCTGCAAACCCCCAATATCCAATGTGAAGACCATGTTTTAAAACATGGGTGTATAACCTTTTGCCTTTCCCGGCCCACATTGGGTGAAGAGGAATTGTCTTGGGCCGCACATAAAATCTATAACATAATTACTTTATAGAAGAAAATCTCAAAATCCATTTTCCTAACTTTTTATATTTCATTTGTTTAGTAGATAACTCCCTTATTTGTTATCCTTATGTGGGATTGCCATATTTTAGGATATCAAATCACTGAGCTATTTACTGAACACATACACATGTATATACACAAAACCACACACAATCATAGACCCACGTATACACATACAATCAGACACACATAATTACTGGCATACACACACACAAATCACATTCATACACGCACATTTAGTAATTAAGAGGTCCACCAGCCTCCCTACCTTGCTCTGGGAGGGCTGGAGTGGATTTTCGGTCCCCCGGTGTCTAGCGGTTATTATAATTTATAAAGTGCCAACAGGTTCCGTAGCGCTGTACAATAGGTGGACTAACAGATAAAACCTCAATCATAGTCACTTCTTCAGCTCTGACTTACTCGTAACAGTGTGTGAGATTGCCGATTACAGCTCCTGTACACATGCATGATTAAGCAGTCGCCTTCATGAAAAACGTGCATTGAGCTACTCTCCAAACCAATAGAATACAGACCGTGATTGCCTGTTTTATTACACTATATAGAGGGTCATTTACTAAAGTAAGAACTTTATAAAATCGAAGGCCAGACTAGCTGAACTAATCTCAGAACTGACTTAGAGAATTATTCCAGTCTCGGCTATTCTGACCTTCGTTTACAATTCACTTTGAATTCTCACTTTAGTGAATACATTTGCTAAAAGATCTCCGGCCTGCTGACCCTGCATTTACTCTACTGCAGCACAGACCATCTGCAGAGATGTGCCGGCTTATTTAAAAAGTGAATTTAAAATTTAAGGCTGAGTAGCCCAAACTGAAAGCATCGCTAACCTAGAGAATTTTTCATTTTGGCACTTTTGACCTGAAGTTTGAATAAACCTGAAAAATGGGGGTTGTTGGCCCTGTGTGCGAGGACAAACTGAACGGTAAACAAGGAAAATAAAATCTTATGGTATCATTGCTCCAGGGGTTAGACTTATAGCTGTAGCAGTTTGTTACAAATTGCTGCAGGTGACATTTTAAAGGGGCACTAAAGGCACAAAGACCACTTCATGTTATTGAAGTGGTATGGGTTCAGGGTCCCTGCCCCCCTTAGTCCTGCAATGTAAAACATTGTAGTTTTTGAGAAACTGTAATGATTACTTTGCAGCACTAAGACTGGCTCCAGTGATTGTATATCAGACAGCCACTAGAGGCGCTTCCTGGGTTCTAACAGAATTCTAACAGAATGTAACTCCATTAAACAAAGCTGGACTAATGTGCTTGCAGAAGTCATATCTATATAATATATACATCTAATTTTTTTATTTTTATTTTCAAAAATACATTATGATTAAAAATCGTCATTGCAGAAAAAAAGGAGAAATGAAACAATCCGTGAGAATTTCCATCTGCATTGTGGGCCCTGGTTGTGCTGTCATTTACCAAGTCTTTAAAATACATTTAGAAAGTTAACACCCGTTATACATCAGTTTTTAGTGTTTTATTCAGTGACAAATTACAGAGAAGCTTATTTCTTCACCTGTTCTGCTAAGAAATTCTTTTATCACATAGAGAATAACAATACAACCTGAATAAACCAAACCGTTCATTATTTGGCATGATTACAGAATAAATCTGCTCTTCTTTCATTTTCAGGCGGAGGTCTGCTCTGGGACCGTTGCAGAAGTTATCCAGTCTGTAGTGAATGGTGCAGATGGATGCGTATTTTGCTTTGGTCCTGTAAAGCTCGGTGAGACCCCAGATTCATTACATTTAATGACTATGTCAGTCTGCTAATTACATGCTGTCAGTTTCCGGTACAGCAAACATAGAGAATATGAATAGATTATACCTTTTAATTAGTTATAAAACATGCTCACAGCCATTGCTATTGGGAACTTTAAGGTTTTAGTCATGATTTAAAAAAACTTTAGCAAATATGTTCAACTTGTCTCCAAAAATTAAATAAAATGGATATTTATTAATTTATTATAAGGGTTTTGTAGGAACAATCGTGGAAAAAAAAATGAATGATTGACAACTCTAACAGAAACCAGCCTTACAATATCTGTTGATTTGATGACCAAATAACTACTTTTTTCACAAATCTAAATATCTTGGTGGAAACAAAATTAGTCTGTATTTATTCTATGCAAATATCGCTGTAGAAGATTTTTGTGAAATTCTCAATGCATGACATATTTTTAGATTCGCAGTTGGAAGTGTGCATGCTAATGAAAGCCAGATTGAGTGTTCAAATGACTCCATTGTATTGCAAAACAATCGAAATCTAGCGCTGCTTTTTTTCCCCTTGTAGGTAAATCATACACTATGATTGGCAAAGATGCCTCTACACAAAGTCTTGGCATTGTTCCCTGTGCAATCTCTTGGCTTTTCAAGCTAATCAACGAACGGAAAGAAAAGACCGGGGCTCGTTTCTCAATCCGTGTCTCAGCAGTGGAGATCTTTGGCAAAGATGAAAACCTCAAGGATTTATTAGCTGAAGTAGCCAGCGGAAGCCTACAAGACGGACAGTCCCCAGGAGTATATTTGCGAGAAGATCCAATATGTGGAACTCAGGTATAAAAAAATAATGAAAAGTATTGGATTATTTATTAACGAGGTTTTTTTTTTTTTTATTATATGTATTTTACTCAACGTCTAATTCCCGAATTTCTTTCTGAAAACCATTCTTATTTCTGGAAGCCCTTTTTCCTTTGGTGCACATATTTGTTTGATTGCTTTAGAGGAAAGTTTCATCATTGGGGAAAAATGTGCGCCATTACCCTAATTAATAACTTGAGTCTTCTTCCTTTTGCACTTTTGTTTCAGCTTCAAAACCAGAGTGAGCTGAGAGCCCCAACTGCGGAAAAAGCGGCCCATTTTCTCGACGCAGCACTCGCAGCCAGAAGTACGAATAGACCGGATTGTGACGAAGAAGACAGGAGAAACTCGCATATGCTTTTCACGCTTCACATTTACCAGTATCGGATGGAAAAGAGCAGTAAAGGAGGAAGTACGTCACTAGATTCCTTACATTTTTGCCTTTTTCTTTTCATTTGGGAATATTGTTTAATGGCAGAAAATCATGGATGACATAGTTCATCGGCAGGCAACCTTCGGCTCTCCAGATTCTGTGGACCAAGTCTCCCCTGATTCTTTGCCAGCATTATGCTTGGGAAAGCATGATGGGAGATGTAGTCCCCGACATCTGGAATGCCGAAGGTTGCCTGCCTCTAACATACTTGATGGATGGTGTTGGTCACAGGTTTTCTGTCCTTGTTCTTGAGTTTGACAATTATTTTTTGGAAAAATAAATTTAATATTTCTATGGCAGAGATAAGATTTGATTTAGGCAATAGCTGTTCCTAATGTTACATTCAGACTTCTTTAGTGTTAGCTCTGGAGTTAGTAACTAAACTGGGATATTTGTGGCATTTGTGAGGAGATTACCAGTTGTATGCCAGAATAGCTGAAAGTTTGATATTTTGGCAAAAATGCAAATCCCTTATAAATTCTCCATAATCACTGCATTACTGAATAATACAGTTTACAATTTAAAGGATCACTATAGGGTCAGGAACACAAACATGTATTCCTGACCCTATAGTGTTAACACCACCATCTAACCCCCCGGGGCCCTTCATGCCTCCATAAATATTGCGAAATCTTACTGTATTCAAGCAAGAAGTTGTAACTCTGCATGCTGTTAGACTCAGAAAAACAAGCAGTCTGATCCAATCACAATGCTTCCCCATAGGATTGGCTGAGACTGTGAAGAAGGCAGATCAGGGGCGGAGCCAGCATGATTCAAACACAGCCCTGGCCAATCAGCATCTCCTCATAGAGATGAATTGAATCAATGAATCTCTATGAGGAACGTTCAGTGTCTGCATGCAGAGGGAGGAGACAATGAATGTTTGGATGCATTTTAGGCAGCCATGACCCAAGAAGGATCTCTAACAGCCAACTGAGTGGCCGCCAGTGAAGTTATCACTAGGCTGTAATGTAAACACTGCATTTTCTCTGAAAAGACAGTGTTTACAGCAAAAAGCCTCAAGGTAATGATTCTACACACCAGAACAAATTCAATAAGCTGTAGTTGTTCTGGTGACACTAGTGTCCCTTTAAGCTATTTACTTAACAGTCTCCCATATCGATAGACAAACCCTGGTAGTCCTTAGAGTTGCTTTAGAAACTCTACTTAGGAGCTATAAATACATGCTACTTCATGCACAACCTCTTTTCTAGCAAGTAATCTTTGTTCCACCCCAAGACCCGATCCACTTAGACAGGCAGTCTCGTGCCATCCTACGTACACAATGATTTTGTTAGATACTCTCTTCTGTCTGCCTATTTGGGAAAAGGCCAATAGCGATCACTATGCAAGACTAATAGGAACATATCCGTTAATGTTCATTCTCTGTTCAAGTTATTTTAAACTTTTTGTTTTCCTTCTCATTTCAACCAGTCACGTAAGGGACTGGAAACATGGGCTTTTCGGGTAGTATTATTATCATCAACATGTAGAGATTTGCCTCCCAACCCTTCCCCCAAGTTGTTTATTTGTAAAATATGACTACAGAGCTGCGATCAGGGAGAGCTTTCGATTTGTTTCCATTTTAATCCTTCTGTTGTAAAAGGCATTCTTTATTCATCTCTTTAGAATAAAGGCCGACAATCAGTAGCTAACTTTATGGAGATCTGCAACTCCCATCATCTCCAGCAAGGTAGTGGCCAACGACATACTGGCTGAGTATCTTGGGAGTTGTAGTTCCCTTTACTCTATTTCTCTTCCAGCTGTGGATTTATAGTTGGCAGTGGTGTTATTTTTTTTTCTCTAATTTTGGACTTTTCATATTGTTGTTCTGCTTTCACGGTCTGACATGCAAGTCAGCTCCGCAGCAGACTGACTTATTTATTTTTAACAGGCTACGATGGGATAAAATAAAAGGGAGCCACACAACTACTACAAGGGTCATTATTCATAAGAAATCCATCTCCCATATATCATGTGGCAAAGTCTATGACTGGCACACAATTGTACGGGTTGGGCACCCAAGCATTGGCTGATAGAGTGCTGTTCAGTTTCTTTGAATTCTCATAAAACAGGCTCGGTGACAAGCAGAATCACATTATTTCTCCCCACAGGACAATATATCATAAATAAGAGAAAATCAATCTGCAAAGAGGGAGGACTAACACACAAACGTAAAAGGGCACTCCAAGATGGAAAGGGTCCCCATTTTTATCAATGCATTATCTATTCTATATAATAAACAAACAATGATATAAAATACATTAAATATACAGATGCTCCCCTGCAGTGTATTTGTCATAGTACGCACAACTTTCTTTCTATACGTTGTGCGAACAGGAAAACATTGTGTCTCCCGTTACCTGTCAATCAGCTATCAGCATTGAAGTTGATCCTGAAAGTTGAGTGACAGATGAAAGCAGGAGAACCCTGTGGCTCATGCTTCCTATAGGAGTATATGAAGAAAGTGTCAGGGTTTTCTGACCCTGATCTTTTGGTAATAAAAACCACACTTAAGGGAAGTTATCTGTGTCCGTGAACCTGCTGTGAAAGGAATATTGTAGAGTTCATGAAGCGACAGGAGCAGACCACATTGGGAAGAGATTCCACCAATCAGGAGTTTCTCCTACTAGCCTATAGACTCTGCTCATTTCATTTCCCATTAATTCCTGCCCATCTGATGTTAATGAGATATGCAACGGTGGTTACATTCTTTACATAGGATGAGTGTATCTTCTAAATAAACAGATTGTAAAGCTCTTGCACACGCACCGTGCCACCATGGCTCAACTTTTTCTGAAAACCAAAGAGAGGGGAAAGTGGCTGGCACAGTGTGCGAATGGCTTCTTCGGCGTTCAGATCGCAAAGTTAGAACTGCCTCTTTAGACTCGGTGAGAGAAAAGGACCGCAGCTATTTGAAGCTGTAGGTAGGGGTAGGTGACTTTTTTGTAACATTATCTGTACAATGACCATAACTTCTTATGGTGCTTAGAATATAAATCCAGAGAAACCAATGGTATTTGGAAATCCTTTTTCCAACCTGCCTAGAAACTGCTCAAAACAAAAGAAAATTCTTTAGCCAACATGGATGTAAAAAGAAAGAATGCTATAAAAGAAAGATACATGAAATTGGCTGGGAATAAAATGGCACTTCCTGTTATTAATGGCAGCCGTGTATATTGCGGGACACTTATAAGACACGGGGGAACGGAGGGAAGGAAGTTGCTGTAGGCCGCAACAATGGCAAGGCTGTGAAGTACAAAAAAAAAGTTAAACCTGTAATATTCCTCCAGGGATTTGAAACCTTTTGTCGGAAAGGTGGTCTTTTAATTCATTAGAATAACCGAGGCATTTGAATAATGAATGCATCTTCTGACAATTGTGTGAGAATAAATGTGTGAATGTAAATGAACTTGCCTACAGGAAGATTGAAGTCAGAAAACGTGCGATAGAGATTGAGGCATACATCTCTCTGAAAGCCAAGACCTGCCATTACTGGGCCAATTATTTTGTGTAATATGTTTTTAAAGGTTAAAGAGTCTGCATCGTGAAAACGAGACTGATTCATATACAATTAAAGTGTAGCCGTCGTGCACGAATCCCCAAACTATTGTCTCACATCCTGCAATGTAGTACTTGTCTTCAACTATGCACTTTTGTTTCTGTGTGTACAATTGGTACATATGCACTAAAATCTACTCCATCAGAAAAAATCCAAACCTTTATTTTTTGACACCTTAAGGGCCCATGTTGCTGATTGTTTTCATTGAACTTTCTGACTGCGTGGAATGTTCTGCTTATTTAGTTATGGCAGAGTTGTGCATTCCTACACTTTTTAAAGTGGGTAATTAGATTTTGTAAGGTGATACTTTGAAGAACACAGATGGCTGTGACAAATTTATATTTATGTGTAGCTTACAAATTAGCCAATTTTAGCAGCATGATTATGAGACTTTCCACTTTAAATATTTTATACACACACCGCAGTATATTATTAGACAGTCTGATTTGGGTGGCTTATGCCTGTATTTGAAATATTCTTGGATATTCACAGAATTTGTGTTACACTCGTCTTTGATAGCTGTCCCAAACTGCTTGACTTGGGGGCATCTCTGTCAACTAGTGCACCGAGCTTCGCTCAAATTCTGTTTTAAGGGATTCATTTGATACAACTCAAATCAATTTTACATTCCTTACAGATAAGTAAATTAGCTAAGTAATCAACACACTTGCGGCAGAACCCATCCCATCTAATCATAGTTTTTATGTATTAAGTAAGCATGAACCAGTAATGATAAAATGACATTTGCTGGATGAGTTAATGAGCCACACCATTTGTTTCTGCATATGAATTTCCTCATTTTCAAAAAATATTCATTTATTGTTGCTATAGTAACCCCTTACTGCTACAATAATTGTTCTTAACCTCTCGACTGGGATTTAAAAAAATGGATCAACATGACAATTTAGTGGATCCACAGTGCTTGGATCAGACGCATTTTATTCAACAGGGAATTTTCTTTTAGGCAATGTGATGGTGACTCCTATGTCCTTGGGAAGAGACTCAAACACGTTTTCTAGGATTTGTGTTTAGGACTTCTAATATTACAGTTGAAGAATCGGTTGCCTTTCCAATGCCCCATGCAATATTTGTCTGTCTGTCAGAAATGAAATTTGAATGTTGGGGGGAAATGGCTTAAATTTTCTTTTGCATAAAATTCTAGTTTGTTGTATAAAGTTTTCCATTGGGACTCTGTTTATTCTTAAGGATGTGCCGAAAGACTTTCATTTTCTGGAAAAGCATTTGTAAACTTGCCGTAAGACATAACTGTAGGCTTGCGTTGAGAATGTACTCCGTTCACGTACAATACTCTACTAGGAGTGCATACATTAAGAAATGACCAACAACAACTTGCCAAAATAATATAAATTTAGGTTTTCTCTTAAACTGGGGAATTACAGGGGAATCTAAAATATTAGGCCTAGATAGATTGGAAAAATATTCCAAATTAAACATTTTGGCAAAAATGTGACATTGCCTGCTCAATTTACAGACTTGTATTGTAGAGAAGAAAAAAAAGCATTTAATTAAACGGAGTAAGGAAAAAAACACACTACCAGTAGGTTGTACATTCTCTTAATAGAAATACACTACAGTGAGGAAGACTAAAACGCTAATAGAACGTATATATTCTTTTTGTAGATTTATAGATAAAGGAGATTACATATCCACACATCTGCTGAATATTTGAGTCAACTGCTTGGAAAACTAAATTATGACAAATGCCTGACTACACATTGTATAAAATTACCGAGTTGTAGAACTTTATTCTTTAAGCAAAAATAAAAAATTAAATCCATTTTGAACTGGGAATATGCAACATTTAAATGCATGTAAACATGTGGAATTTCATGAGATTACAAGAAAGCTCCCTTTTAAACTGCATATCATAGTCATAATGAATTTCTATTCTCTCCTAGTGTCTGGGGGACGAAGCCGCCTGCACCTTATTGATCTTGGGAGCTGTGAAAAAGTTCTAAGCAAAAGCCGCGAAGGAGGGGGTCTCTGCCTGTCCCTCAGTGCTCTGGGAAATGTCATTATGGCTCTAGTGAATGGAGCAAAGCACATACCGTATAGGTAAATACTGGTGATGCATTCTGCATGTTGCTTTGTATAATTTACATCTCAATGTTCAAATATAATGAATGCAAAAAAATAAACACGTTTTTAGTGATTGTCAGATTCCTTTGTTTCTCTGTAAAAGTGCTATGCTACCTGGTGATTTTGGCTTGATAGCATCTGTGAATATTATGCCAAAGTAGAAAACCAGATGGAGAGGAAGATGTGAGAGAAGGAAGAAATTGGGTCAAAAATAATCTTGCCTCTAGAGTTGTGATTTACAATGTTTGCGATGTTGTTTTCTTCATCTATTCTTACTGTTCATTTTAAGCCATTATTGTTCTTTTTTTACATTTATAGAGTGCCAACTTGTTCTGCAGCACTTTACAATTTTCTAAGGAAAAAAAACTTTACAATAAATGAGAACTGTAAAAATGTTACAGGAACAATAGTTTGAGGATCCTACTCGAATGAGCTTACAGTCTAAAGGTTAAGCCGTTTCTTTAGAACTTAACTGTAGCACTACAGATCCCTATTCAGGTATTTTGTGCTATCATAAGCTCTGCTTTTGTTTACACTCTAACCACTATAACGGCTACAAGTCACTGAAGTGGTTATGGTGCTATGATGACATGGTTAGCATTCACTGGCTTCTGGAAAAAAAATCTACCCCAAAAGAAAGTGGTGCTCCCAGCAGCTGTAGCAATATTAGTAATGATGAAATTCCACTTCCACATTATCGACTGGGAATCCATCCAACTTTGGGTGGCAATTGTCAATTCAGTAAAATAGATTGTATTTTAACCAGAGAGCTTCATTTGTCTCCTGTTTGCTTGCTTCTATTTTTACTGTCAATGCTATGAAAATGAAGGCACTATATTGAGTGAGCTGCAGCCTTAGAATACTGTGGACACTGTATCTGCTCTTAGTTTACATCTTGAAATGTCTATTCTGAGTTTATTGGTGGTGTCGACACGTTGCAAACCAACTGCTCCACAAAACTGCTGAGCAGACAAGTGGGGATAAGGATACAATAAACACACGTCCTCCCCATCAATATTATGGATAACAGGGGCTAATTGCTTCATTCCCTGAATTGTTTGCAAATTCTGCTGTCAATGTGGGAATAATTAGGCCCCCTTTTCTTACCATTGGGGTATTAAACGGGAGAGTGGCCAGGTTAGGTTACTGCTTGCTGTCATTTATAGTTCGTCAGACAGCTGGTATTAACGTAATCCCTTTACGTTCTTGTTGGAATTCATTTACAATACTAAAGTAACAATAAGGAATGCCTTCTCTCCCCTCTCCCCTCCCCGCACTGCAAATGCTCATCGCAGACTTCTAATTTCTATTTCTCCATGTTAAATAGGGACAGCAAATTAACTATGCTCCTGCAAGAATCTCTGGGGAACATCAACTGCAGAACCAGCATGATTGCTCACATCTCCGATTCTCCAGCAAATTATCTAGAAACTCTCTCAACGCTTCAGCTTGCCTCTCGCATTCACCGAATGAGGAAGAAAAAATCACGGGTTAGTTTGTTTCACTGATTCTCTTTTTAGTGTTTGCAGCAATAAAATTGCTTTTTTATTTATTTTTATTATTACAACGTATGTAGCTTCTGCAGAAGAAAAGTCAACATACCAGAAAATTGCCATTGTTCAGAAAAACCTTGGCTGTGGAATAAAGCATATTCACCCTGAAGTGGGGGCCAAGGGGGGATTGTATTGCTTCTTCAGCTTCTTAATATCCCTGTCTGCTCTATGAATATCAGACTCAAACTGGTGTACAAAGAATAAACTCCGTAAGGACCAATTACATGTCAGAAATAATGTATAATCGGTTGCCTAACCGTTGGTCATTAAGGAGTTATTTTTACTCTTTAAATAGTGAAGGTTCTTTTGCATTCACATGAAAGGAAAACTGTTATTCATTTCTCACTCTGCTCAAAGGGTTAAAATAGTTGTTTGGAAACCACATAAGAAATATATGTATATAGTGCAAAAAAAAAACAATAGTATATTCTATAAATGTTCATTTCACAATTGGCAGAGTTTGTAAATGTAATAACCACGCAGGTCACAAATTGTAACTGTTTTAGTACATTGCCTGACATTTTAAAGCACTAGTAATGTGCTTTTTTTGCATGAAAATTTTCACTAAGTGCAATCATTTTTGCTAATAGTTTTGAACATTTAAGACAAAAGGAGACAATTTCTTCTCATGTTGATTTCATTCATTTATATAAAAAAAAAAAATTCTCCCAACTGTTTAAATGGAATCGCTCCCCCCCTCCCACTTCCAGTTTAGATCTATCTTTATCTAGCTGCAAATCAAAGAAGCTCCTTTTAATACAAGATTTTTTTTATATATATATAATTTATTTTAATGTCTCCCTTAAAAGGCTTGTGTGTGACTGAGAAGCTGGCAGCTGTTGTGTGATTGATATATTGTTTTTTTTTCTGTCTCATTTCCTTCAGTATGCATCCAGCTCATCGGGTGGAGAAAGCTCTTGTGAAGAAGGTCGTGTCCGGAGACCCTCCCACATCAGACCATTCCATCCGAGAACTGTAGCAATAGACTCTGATTTTCCAGCTCTGGGGATGCTAAGTGATCCGGATTATTCTTCTAGCAGTGAGCAGTCTTGCGACACGGTCATCTATGTTGGCCCCAATGGTGCTTCGCTATCTGACCGAGAACTAACGGACAATGAAGGGCCTCCAGAATTTGTTCCTATAATACCTTCCCTCCTCAAAAAAAGAAGCAAAGATAATTTATCTAATAGCCGGAGTTCTGATAATGATCACTTTAAATGCAACACATTTGCGGAACTGCAGGAGAGATTGGAGTGCATCGATGGAAGTGAAGAACCTGCTAGATTTCTCATTGAAGAAGCAGCTGCTGGAGCAATGTGTAGCAGCTTTTTTGATGAAAACGTTCAGGCAAAGTCACAAATGGAAAAAATGGTAGAGTCGGCAGTTTGCAAAAGAACTGGTTTGCAAGATTTATCTCCCAAAAAGGGACAAAATGTTGATCTGTCATCCACTTCCCAGCTAAATAGTCCAGGTTCTGAAACCAGTGCACCTCCGTTAAAATGTGAGCACCCTCAACAACATGCCAAAGCAGGAAATGTAAAGGTGGAATGCAATTTGGACAGAGATCAAGTGACAATCATGGAATTACAAAATCCTGAAGTACCAAGTGTTTGCACATCAAAGGATCAACCAAATCTGGTCACTGAGCCTTCAGTGAAAGAGAAAACTTTTCAGGTGAGAAGACATCTCCCCGCTCCTGCTCCTTCTCAAGCCTGTTCGGAATCCTGGAGTAGTACAGGAGTGAGGACACCACCAGTTGGAATGAGCAAGCTGATAAACCAGGATAAGCACAATTTAATGGGTAGCACTTCTTCTTGCTGTAGCAATTCTAAACAGACTGGTCCAGTGGAAGTACACAGGTTTTGCTCCGCAGTGAAGGGCAAAGGCTTTGACCGTGATATATTAACCACAACAGTAACTTTGCAGAAGCCTGTGGAGCTTAATGGAGAAGATGAACTTGTGTTCACGGTTGTAGAAGAACTATCTATTGGAGGTATGCTTGACAAAAAACGGCCTTCTAGTATCATTAGCTTTAACAGTGACTGCTCCTTGCAGGCTCTTGCATCGGGGTCCAGACCAGTCAGTATTATCAGCAGTATTAATGATGAGTTTGATGCGTACACATCCCAAGTGACTGCCGCTGGTGTAAATATTGATATTGTTTATCCACTTGTAGAAAATCAGTGTGCATCTGGGAGCAGGCGCTCTTCTGTTAGTTCTTGGCTCAGTGAAGTAAGTATTTGTAGAATTAACAGTGATGGAGCCCAGACCTATGAGACGTATGTACCCTACTCTACACACAAATGCAGTGAGATTGAAGAATGTCTTAACCTTGATTCTGAAAAGTGTGCAAGCGTGCAGATAACTCAGAATCTTAATAACTCTCTTAATGACAGTGGGTTCTGCTTTTCGGAAATGGATAGTGAAAGTGCTGATTCCAGTCCCCTGTTTTCTAAGCACGAAAGAAGTCTAAAACTTTCTGAACTAACCAGAGCTTGTTCAACTGCTTATCCTGTAACTAACCAGCCTAAAGCTAGTTGCACCCAGGGTACTTTATCAGTAGAGACCTTTCATTCCAGTCTTCCTCGGAAACCTAGATCTACCTCATCTACAGCACACACTAATGCATTAAGTAGCAAAGAAAGCATGTTTGATGATCCATGGTTGGTGCGAACAAGCCATGACATTGTAGAAACAGACAGTCAGCCACTTTTTACAAAATCTTCCATTTTGGTCTCAGACAATCAGCTAAAACAGAACTCAAAACCCGCACAAATGGCCATCTGTGCCTCAAAGGCCATGAAATCACAAACCATGCTTGCATGTTCACAACAACGGGTTGTAGATGGGTGTGAAGTTGATGATAAATCACTTCCAAGAAAATCTGAACCTTTAACGAAAATGCCACAACTTAAGAGAGGTGCTACAACGTTGGGTGTAGTGACAAACTACAGTTCTCAAGCAGATTGCATGAGCAAGGGATCAACAGAATTTTCTGATGGAAGTCTTAAGTCATCTGGAAATAAGAAAGGTTTACCTCAAAAGGGGAGCATGCTGCCTAGACCTGGGGGAACAAACCCTCCAGCTCCTCCTGTACGCAAATCAAGTCTAGACCAGAAAAATATTCCCTTGCATTCAAATAGTCTCACCAAATTAGAGAAACTGGAATGTAGCCGGTCAGGCCTCTTGGAAGATGACCAAGAAATCCAATTTAGCAGTAAAATCTATCCCAAGGGTGATCATTCTTTACCTAAAACGGTTTCAAGTTTGAAGGTGAAATCCAACAAAACAGAATGCGTTCAACGGTATGGGAGTCACATGTCTCTTGAGAGGTGTGATAGTCTGACATCTGTGGGTTCTAGAACATGTGCACCACGTGATAATGGTTCTAGCTCTACCAAGGTAGGAAGAACAGCACCAAAACTTGGAGTCCCTTCTGCATCTTCCACAGTCACCTCACCTCCTTCATGTACAGCTCCTGTCAAGACTAATCAGGCAAAGAGTTCTCTTTCACAGAAAGCTTCCACGAATCTTAACAAAAATCGCAGCCTATCAACAAATGGTTCAAAATCACTCAGCTCTTCTGTAAAATCTCTGAATCAAACTAGTGGGAAAAATTCTGGTATTCCACCCAGCGGAAAAGCCACCTCCCGGTCTGTGCAGTGCATGAACAGCAAACCCACCAGAACAATTATGGGGACTAAGCAAGCTTTAAGGGCAGCCAATAACAGAGTCAATGAATTGGCCTCAGGTAGCTCTGGAAAGATGGGCCATTTCAGAGGTTCAACAGATTCAGACAGTGGAAATGATAGTGGTATCAACCTAAGTGATGAAAAATCTCAAGCTTCTATGTTGCCATCACCATACAGTAAAATAACTGCACCACGACGACCTCAGCGATATAGTAGTGGCCACGGCAGTGATAACAGCAGTGTTCTAAGTGGTGAACTTCCCCCAGCCATGGGAAGGACGGCTCTTTTCTATCACAGTGGTGGAAGCAGTGGATATGAAAGTATGATACGCGACAGTGAAGCCACAGGAAGTGCATCTTCAGCCCATGACTCCATGAGTGAAAGTGGAATGTCTTCATCTGGTCGCATGAGAAGCTTAAAATCCCCAAAGAAAAGAGGTAACTTGGTCTATTTTTTTTATTCTTTAGTTTTATTTTGTATTTTTTTTAAAAATGTTAAGGAAAAATGTTAACCAGTTAAATGTGTTTTAAATTGGAAGATGTGGTAGGTAGGAACATTCTTTAAGGAAATCAGGTAATGTAGAATTCACCAAAACATGTAAATGTGAACATATTACTAGCTAACATTGAAACCAAGCATAGACAAGTCTGTATATTGTAGGAAAAATTGTAGCATACAAATAATGTATTAAAATGTGTATGTGCCATTTCTGTGATTGGTTCTTCTCTTGGTAGCTATGTGTTCGCAAGCACTGTAGTTTGAAATTATGCTATCAAAAGAAAAGTATACGGATTTGATTAGGGGATTTGTAATAAAACAAATACCCTAATAAGATAAGAATATGTATAAAATAAGAATAGTCCCTCCATCCCTCCCCATTTAAATACCTTTCTAATAAGCATTAAATATTATTGTGAGACATGGACCAAATGACTGTACATGTGTTAATTATCATACTGAGCAGTGAGACAGAGAAAACTGAAAACATGTCCATGATGATGTTTGTCTACCTAGAAGCACAAATCATATAATTTTTTCCAGTTCACGCACTAACCACCATCAACTGAGAAAAATAACCTTTTTACAAAAAAATTAATGTAAAGCTTAATAGGAATATCTGCATTCACGTGCTTTTACTAAGGCCCCACTGTGCACTGTTTTTGTTGACCATAGACGTTGTCTGTGATTCACAGAGTGATGTTTTAAGTTCTCTAGGTCATTATCTTTAACATAAATGTGTCCACCTTCTTAAAGGTCTTCAAAGACGTCGGCTTATACCAGCTCCTCTTCCTGAGAATGCTACAGTGGGAAGGAAGGCAAATCTTACTGGCCAATGGGTTGATTTGCCACCTTTGTCTGGCACTTTAAAGGAACCATTTGAAATCAAGGTTTATGAGATTGATGATGTGGAGCGGCTTCAGCGGCACAGAGCTGAGGAACCAGAGGTAAGCATTTATCTTCTCCCCAAAGAGAGAATCTGAAACTTGTATTCAATGGAGGTTTTTTTTCTGTGTGATAATATTGGCCAAGGTATTCTGCTGTGATTTTGGGGTGTGTTTTTGGTTCTCTCAAACAGTCCATAAAAATGTTTCTGATAATTGGTACAAATCCGAGACCATAGATCATACAAAGCCCTGAAGATATCTAGCACTCAGATTACAAAGACATTTTGGAAATTGATTGCAATTAAAATGTCATAACTTCTATTTTTTTAAATTCATATGTTGGGGTACGCTTATCTGGCAGAGAAAATTTAATTGCTCTTGGCCGTAAATTCTGTTTAACGTGACTGATGTTGTGAGCTGAGAATATCAATGAACGTATTACGGGAAGTATTTTATTTTCGGATGAAGACGAATAAAACTTTATAGCTTTCTGCATGTGCTGGGGTCATTACCTCTTTATGTAAATCATATAAAGTGTTCTGCACAAGCTCCCATTAAATCTCACATAATTAAATTGATTTTGCTGTAATCAGAAAACAGTCCAGTGTTTTTTTAAACTATTATATTGCATATTTGCACTGACTTGTTCTGTCTATTTATTTTATGCCAGCCGTTTCAAGATATGGAAAAGGTAAGGGTAAACTCTTTCTAATATATGTGCAGGGGTGTTGCTAGGCTCCAGAACCACTTTGGGCTTGAGCCCAAAACAAAACTTGATGACCCCTACACTCACCGAGAGGTGGGGATGTCCAAAACTAAGGACATTATGCTACGGATGCTTTCTTCGTTCTCAATGAAAGTATAGCCAGGAAATCAGTGTGATCCTGCCCTGCTACCCCATTAATAGAGGGGTGTACATCAAAGTTCTGTTCACCAGCACCCTCCAAACTGTTACCTGAGGGGCACCACACCATCTCTCTTAATAATCCGGTGGATCACTCTACTAGTGATCTTTCTTTTTCAGCATGTGGTTGATTTGAGTAGTTAAAACAAAAAAACACTAATCTTCTTGGCCCTTCCACAACCTGTTGAGATCCAAGGCTTACAGAGTAAAATTTCCACTGCTTCAGCCCAAAAGCTTCCCTCCCTAGCAACACCAATGCATAGCAGAGTATATGAAACAACATAATCATCTATGCCTGTATTCATATGGAGCTTTTCTTGTTAAATGTTACATTCTAATCACATATACTGATGTAATAGATACATTATTGAACATACGGATACATGCAATTTTCTTGGGTTTCTTACCTTCATTGTCAATCTAATATTTGTATATTTAGCCAAAATAAACAGAATTTGACATAAGTTGATGGGATGTACACAGTAAACCACTATACGCACCATTAACCACGGATTAAAAAAAGCTATTTTTGCACCTGGCAGACATTGTATATACAGTATTATAGACCTTAGACCTTATTGAAAGAGGGGAGAGAGGAATAAGATAACATAAGAAGTATAACTCATCATATGAATAATGTACACCACTGTATGGCCAATCAATATTCAGGAATGCACAATACAGTTACAATACAAAAATGAATTACACTTCATTACGATTATATGTTATACCATTTCTGCAGTGTTGAAAGGTTGTGTATATAATACAAATTTTTTTTTTAAAATGGTTACTTAGTTAGGAAATACACAAATACACTTTACACAGAGATTGCTGTAAAATACATTTATTCAATTTTTTTTGGATTATAGATAAAAGACCTGCTCCAGCAGTGTTTACTAAAATGTTGAATACAAATTGAAATCTTAATATAATCTATTGGATTACATTTCCCAGTCTTAATCATATAATATTGGAGATAAACAACAGTGGAATTGTGGGATATGAATATGTTGGACATAATATACAAATAGATTTCAAACTTTTTCTCATTCATTAGGAAGGGTTATGATTTGTAATTAAATATCTGGGGCTGTGTATCCAGAGGAATTCTGGGGTGATGTTCTAAAATTAGAAGAATCACAATGGAAATAAATAGAATGTTGTTTTTTTCGGATTATTCCACCTAAATTGTATTTATACATATCTGTATATTCATACCTGTGTGTTCGTGTTTGCATGTTGTACCTAACTACGCACATTTGTTCTAAAGGGTCTCATGTACTTCAACAACAAGCTGAAGATCATAGAAAGGCGGCAGCAGAAGATTAAGGACGTGAAGGGGAAATATGAACTACTGAAGGAGGAACTAGAAGAGACAAAAACAAGGTTGATGATGGATCCAAATAAGTGGAGAGGACAATGTAAGTATCTGCTTTCATCCGTTAGACTTGCATTTGGCTTAATGCGGTAATGTCAAAATCAGCTAGACACGGTTTCGAAGAATTTCTACAAAAATTACATAAGCCCACATTTCTCAATCATTTCATTTTAAAAATGGAAGTGCTGTAGGGTGAACTTGAGGATTTATTTCCATGTTTAATTTGGCCAAAAAGGAGACTTGTGTTTCTGAGAGTATGGTTGGCGGTGGGATTAGGGACAGCACCATGGATAGAATTATTATTTTTTTGGGGTGTTTTTTTATTTATGTAACAGACAAAAACTTCAAGAGCCGTATAATCAAGAAAGAAATGTATTGGTCTTCAGCAGTGAAAGAAACCCTGTTCAATATGCACCAATAACCACCCTTAAAGTAGATAAATACTGCAGGTGGCGTAATTACAGCTAATAATATGTTAGACCAGTGGTGGGCAACCTTCGGCACTCCAGATGTTGTGGACTTCATCTACCATATTGCACTTACAGCCATAATGCTGACAAAGCATCAGCACCCAACATCTGTAGCGCCAAAAGTTGTCGACCCCTGAACTAGGAGATGGTCTAAATACGGCTATAAGAGAGGAGGTTACTCGTTGAGAGTATCACCCTCAATTACAAAGACAGCAGTAAGCCTAGGAAGGGAAACACTTGTCCAATCACATTATTAGCGTCATAAGAAATTTCTTACAAGAAGAAGAAGAAAAAAAAACACAGATGTATATTGTAAATAAATCAAAGTCTCTAACGCGTAATCGGTAAGATAACTGGTTTCAGCCAAAGTGCCTTTGTCCTTGGATAATGGATAAACATATATGCGAACAAACATGACTCATTCGTTATGATATATTTTTCTAAGAAATCTTTTGGTTTCCAGACACTTAGGTTGATTAACCAACAGTATGGGGGCAGTTAAAGTGTTAAAAATGAGACTATAGTAATTAGCAGTCCCTGAGAGCAGAATTTTTCCTCTTCAACATGCTCTTTTTGTGACTATTTCAATGCAATCCACAGGGTTACTCACTTTCAGTTTTCAACAATTCTCATTTTATTGAATACCTTTGCAAATTTCCATTTATTTACTTTGTTGTTTTTATTTTTTTTTCTGATCAACAGTTGACTTGGACCTGACTCTTGATGCAGAGTCTCAGGAGTATTTGGAGATGCTAGAACAAATGACAGATGATCTTGAACTGTGTGTTAACGTATGCAAGTCTCATGTCATGATGGTGACCTGTTTTGACATTGGGATCATCTCTGATCAGCAAGATGGAGGAAGAGAAGTGGAAGTTTGAAGATTTGGATAGAGCATTGATGGTAGATCACATCGAGCGAATACAGCAGAGGTTTGGTTGGATCAATGCACCGTTTAAAATAAATGGACATGCGTTACTGTGTAGACCTTGTGATAATACACATCACATTCACTACCAGACCCTATATTCCATATTTTAAGACGTGCCTTGATCCTGTCCCTCTTTGTATAAAACTCAAAGATAGGTAACAAGAAAAAGAAATGCTCATCTCTGTAGGTGGAGAAGAATAAATTAACATCAGGATAAGAACATTTGGATGGTTAAGTATTGTGCGAAAAATGTACATTGGAATGTGATAATGTAAAATTGCAAAGAATGTTATTGGATTGATACCGATGATGAATTGTAATGTTCTAAATCAACATGGTGCCTCGAACTTAACTATACAAGATGACGTTTTACCCTCCAAGTGCCAGAGTGGTAGTGATCAGCTTTCTGGCGCCCTACGGGCAGCCTAGTGCAATTCAGTGAATAGTAGGACCCACTGGGGCAGGATAGATTAGAGAGGATAACAGAGAAAGTCTTAAAAGGGAGATAAAAAAAAAAAAAAGATATACAAAAAAAAAAAAAACCCCAACAGAAGTGCCTTCTTTTCCGAATACTTTTTCTTATTTTATTTGGTGCTAAAAATGTAAAAGCCAGCAAACCTAAGCAGACCCTTATGTATCACCATGAAATATTTTATACTGTACAGTATATGTATAATAACATGTAAAAACATTTTAGAAGGAGCAATAAGTAAATTATGGTTTCACACCTGAATTTGCCTTCTGATTTCATGGAAAAAGCTGTTTTATACAGCAATCCTGTAAAATACGTTTCCTTTCTATAAATTCAAGATATTTTTTATGACGTTATCTACTACTATGAAAATGAATCATAACTTTCAGATTTGGGTTTTATGCTCCATTCTAAGCAAAGGTGGTGTTTTGTTTTTTTTTTGTTTGTTTTGTAAGAGAATTACAAATGTTGACCAATACATCATAGATATATGTATGTCTTAAATGGTCTTCAAAGTTCTCATCTACAATTATACAATAAGATGAGTTGTTAATCTTTTTCTTCTAAGTACAGTTTTTTGCATTTTTTTGTACTTTCATTTTTTTACAGTTTTTTCAGGAAGGCAAAACCTCAGGGTAAATTTCTACACGCTGCATGTAATGTGTGCATTTTTTTTTTGTAAAGGGTTGCTGTATGATTGCCAAACACTGCGAAAGGTTTACGTGCGTATGTAATATTGCATTTCATATAGAGTCATATTTTCTAATCATTTTGTTTTTATATGGGGTTTACAAAACCTTTGTATAAATGTATAATACTTTCCTCTAGCTTTTTTTCTGTGAATAAAAGGTGCATTTATTAATACAGACTTGTTAATTATTTGGTATATATATCATCTAGTTTTGAGTATACTGTCATAGCACAGTTTCATTTTCAAGTTTAACTTTCTAAAAAGACTGAAGTTTGGTGGTGTCCTCTGTAGTTCGAAAGATATGAGGTAGCTTAAAAGGTTACTTCAGCTACCATGACCACTATGGTGGTTTGAAGTGGTCATAGTGCGTAAAATCCTGTATGTGCAGCTTTTCTTTACGAAACGCTGTGCATACAGAGTTTAATCTCTTTGCTTATTTCCCCCCTCAGCAGTGTCATTCGAGGGCCATCAGCCAGTCCGGAACTAGATTTCCTGGCTGACTAATGTCAATTCTGTACATGTTCCCCTCCACAAAAATACAATCATTGGTTGAGAGCAGTTGGATAACACTCTCCACCAATGAATGGTCTGCAGGATCTGAAACCAGCCATAGAGGAGAACTGGCGCTCAGCTGGACAACGTAAGAGGGCAACCCATTGCATAACAACGGACTTGGAGTAACCCTTTAAATTTACATTGGTATAAGCACTAGAATTTACAATATCATGAGCACGTAAGGCAATGCATTTAATAGTTGTTAATAGTGCACTATAACAGTCTTCGGGATCAGTATTGCCAAACCAACCACATTTTTATAAAATATTTGCTTAGCAATACTCTAGTTCTACAAGACTAATCATTGGCCACAATCATATACTTTTTAAAAGCTTGCCAACATGGAATGAAATGAGTTACAGATATGAAAAAGAACTAAGTAACCAAATAATTACATGTTTTCCCTCTGAGTAGAGTAAGTTAACCACAAACCCAAAATAACAGTATTGCCAAAAGAAACCAACAGATAGGTTGGGTCTTATAATATATTCTGGTTCACCTTTTGTCATTCTATTCAGTGTGTGTCAAAAATCATCAATAACAGTTATAAGATTTTGCTATTTTCTCTTGATTTTCACGGTTTTCGGCACAAACTGCATATTGTGATAAAAGGCGATCCTGAATATTTCACTAGGCACAACCTGTTACTTTTCACAGATATGAAAGTCTGATAAATTGTCACCGTAAATTAAGTGATGTGCTACAAATAAAAGGTGCGTAACGCCCAGCTATCTCACCATTGAAGGTGTATCTACTCACTTTGAGTCCTGTTGATTCTGTTTGCAGTAGCTTGTAAACAGTGTGCATGGATGTAATATGACCCACCCTGTCTCTCTCACTCCCACCCTTATTTCATTGCAGTCACATTCATCCAAACCCACTGAATTACATGTATATACACCCGCCTGCTCACATACCTACGGATAGCCACACTCACCCACACTGTCACAACTTACCCATAATCCTCCTCTCTATTCGCATATCTCTACCTACCTAGTGGCCTACACTTTCTAGACACATAGTTCCTTGCATCCAAAAATCTGTTTGTCCACCAATGCAGGCAAATTGATCTACCGTCAACAGTATTCTGCACTTATCATGCAGAAACGCACATACACATATATGTAGTTATGTGGTAATGCAGGCTGAAGAAATAACTAAAGTCCATCAAGTTCATCCTTTACAGGCCTTCATACACACATTATATACCGGTGCACAATGGGTGGCAACCTAGGGCCCATCCTAAGACATTGAGCCAGTGTGCCAGTATCTTGGCCTGGAACTCTGGTTCTGTATGTGTGAGGTCCATCTCTAAGCTGACATGGATTTAAACAGATCTCTTTGCACGACTCTGTGCTTGCCAGTGGATCCAACATGGGAGAACACTAGGGCACAGAACACCCCCCTTATTCCCTTTCTGAGCCCTGCCCCACTGGACCACAGGGAAGCCACCCTCCTCCAGCACAAATATCCGCAACAACAGAGCTCAATGTGTGCGTTTGTTACTCATTTTGTTTATGTCCGTGTGTATCTCTGTGTGCATACATAGCAATTACATTCAGGGGAGTCATTACATTTAGAATCAGCTATGGCACCTCAGCCACCACGTCAAACTAAGAAAATACATTATAATTCTACTTTAGGAATAAAACACACATTAGTTGTATTATGGATTCTTACTGTTAGTATCTCTGTTTTCAGAGCCTGAAATAGAATATATATGTTTTAAAGACTGTAAGACTGATCTGAGCCATAAAGGTACTTTTTATTTCTCTTTATACACTGCCAAAACCTTTGAAGAAGGGAAGTAATTGGTGAAGTAAGCAAAGCACACGGTAAGCGTTGCCCCAAATGTGTCTAAAACCATTACATTGACTGCACAAGAACATAAAATGGCCATTAGTACCTTTCATACATACACAAAACATAGATAAAAGATGTTTAGATCACAGATCATATTTACGGGGCTAAGAAAAGACACTTGCCTTTTTTACAGCACTGAAGAATACATTGGCGCTAATAAATAATTATTGATCTAGTGATTTAAAAAAATGTGAGGTATATTTTTATAGAACACAGTATATATTTTCATTTGAAAATAATATTTTATTGATGTACTGCATTCATCTAGATTTATTATTTATTTTATTTCTTTAAGAAACCGCTTTGTTTTTTTTTTTTTATTGCAGTCCAGGCGGACGCACAGAATATATATTCTGTCCATTGACTTTAATGATTGACATACGTTTCCACAGCAAAATGCATTTTTACAACAAAGCATTTTTCAAAGTAACCGTGAAATACCAGGACTGCAGTTTGTAGCTGTGGCTGCACAGCAATCTCTAAATGTCCCAATGCATACATGAATCCTTTTAATTGGTTTTTCCCTTATGTAGCATACTGGTTATATTTACTCTCTGAACTTGAAAGTCCTCATCCCAAGCTAGTTTTAAATCTTCTGTGAAATGTTGCCAAGTAAGCAGAATGTTTCTTTCCTTACATCAGCTCCCAAACACCCCTTATTCTTTCCTGGTTTCCAGTTAGTTCTGGATACAGGAAAGCAAAGCAAACGATGACAGACAGAGTACAAACACCGTATAAGTGTGCTTGCCATCTGTTAGACGAGACTGCAATCTTTTCAGGTTTGAATGTGAATAATCCATGTTTTGTAAATGTAACATTTAATCTCTCCTAGTCTAGCATCTGTTCCTAATTGCAAGTACCTGCCACTAATTAGGCTAATTCTAGCCATTGTTATTGTATATCATATCAAGCTTAATCGATTAGTTTGCTATTTTACCAGCGCCGGGGGTAACCCTCTGCCATTAGTAACAGAATATATTATTGTTGCAGAAATTAAATACCCGATAACATTGTATTCACTAGTGTTCCCTAGGCTGAATGAAACGTCTCAGAGGTTTAATTTGGCTCCTGCCCTTCCCGAATAACCTTTGCAGGGCTGTTCACTAAAGGCCGAATGCACTCTTGTTTGCAACACCTGGTGAAAATCATCTGATTTCAACTAGATTCATGATTTGCGCATTTACTGCAGTCATATCTTGTTTAGCAAAAATAACAATAATTCGCAATTCACACCTGCAAATCCCATGCAGAATGCATACATTTTTAGAAAATTCTGGACTGGAGTCACTGGGTACATTATTGCCTTTTAAACTATTTTAAAGATGGTATAACCTTGAATTTGGTCTCACAGGCAACCAACAGCTCTGCATTCCATTTCCTTCTCTGGCTGCCGTACAGTCCAAGAAGGTTTGAGGCTGGAGATGGGTTGACTGTGACAGCTGACACTCTAAATGTATCACTGTGCATGTACTATTACTCGCAATGGGTTGACTAAGTAACCCTCCGTCATTCTGTTACTAATGACGGAGGGTTACCCAGAGGCTATCAACGCAAACCATTCTAGACTGGATGAAGGACAGAGGAAGAAATGCTGCCAAGTGCTGCGGAACTATCTTTAAGGTTAAAGCATTCAAAAACCATTGAACCCCAGTAGGTAAGATGGCATCCAGGCATTCCTGTTTCCATAACAACTTTATTAAAATGAAATTGTTATGGGTTGGGAGTGTTCCTTCAATGCCTGTTAGATCATAATTTGACCAACACATCTCCTTCAAATTCCCTTCACCCCCTTCTTGCATCATAGCATTAGAATTCTAACAACTGCTGTTTTGAAGGGGCATTTGCACCATGCTGCTATAAGGTCATTAACTCGAGGGAGGGTTAGCCATTTAACTTCCCTAACTCTGCATGGATAGTTGTAAAGGGAAAAAAAACAAAACAAAGTTATACTCCAAATTTTTTAGTGGATACAACGAACCCAATGGAAATCTAGTCATCTTCAAAGAAAAAAAGCCTGCACAAGGCCAATGGCACTTCATTCTTGTGCACTTTTGCCAATTATGGAACAACACAAGACGAAAACTCAAATATAAAACCACCAAAGTCATTGTAGCTATGGGAATGTTTGCAGATATTTGAATTTGTGAATGGCAGATTTTGAGAAAGAAAAACAATTCAGATAATATTTTTTTGTGGGACTTCAGACAAAACACCACAGAGGAAATTAACAAAATTTCCACCAATAATATGTTCACTTACGAAATTGACTTAAGGAGCTCTGTAACCTAATAAATCCAAATTGCTGAGCCCTGGTAAGGCTGGGAATGCATTCCAAAACTAATTAATCAATAGCTTGAGATGCAAACACAGCCCACTGTCAAATAAATTGAATAAAAGAAATGGAGTACTCCAGATCCCTTTAAACAATTGCAAACCCAAGTCCTCCTAATCCTATACTGTAAGGATTTCAATGTCTCACAGCATTAGGGGTACAGTTACAATGCCTGAACTTGTAACCATAGCCCCAATCCCTCGGTGCTGATCATCTCTCCTCACCATGCTACGCTGCGGTCGAGGCAAGGCCTCCTCCACAACAGTCCAAACCCAATGCATATGCATTTGCACACACATTTAAACTTTCCCATAGGAAAGCATTCAATCAATGTTGGGATGTGGTGAGGTCTAATGGTTAGGATACACTTTCATTTTAACTGTAGGATGTAGTTGTAGATGTAACCATGAAGACGAGATTCTG